ACTTAACTTGGCTACTCGCGTTTGCTATTTGTCGCCGACCAGTCTTACGCACGGGAGGAGGGACCACTACCAAGGGGACGAGCGACCAGCGGCGGCGGACACTACTTGTTTACGCGCCTCGCACAGCATCGCACGGGCCCAACCGCGTTCATAATATAACACCAAGTCCATGTCAAATAATCTGTTTTGTATAAATATACCAGTTTACCTATAATTACAATTCACATCATTTAAAGTCCCCATAGGACTCTTCTCATTAGTCCTTCGAGCCGGATCATACGTAAGACTGGTCGGCGACACTATTTATAAACTTGACATCAGTCTGTCCTTTTCATAACTTATAAAGCATTAGCTGACCCGGCAAAATTCGTACCGCTTACAATATCTTTCTTTCCATATATTGCGACTATAAATTGAGATGTGAGCTATCTTATCTTTCAAGTTGGATTAAACTGCACAAGGTGTGCAAATGTGAATAAGATCGGTTAAGTAGTTTAGGAGTCCATCTGGGACAAACAACGTGACGCGAAATATAAATAATATGTATAGAAAAAAGATGATAAGGCTGTCCTTATCTGTCATGTTATTACTTGACAACATTATGTACTGTTGTCAATTCAACAAATAGCAAAAACGAATAGCAAAGTGATGTCGGCATAACAGTGAAATACATCATGCGATATTTAATAACATAAATACAGGTGGAATATAGTCAATTATTAAAATGTTGAATCACTTCTAGCTCTTAAATTCATTAATTGTACTGTGTTTACCAGAAAGCATAGTTGTATTTTATGGCAACATTTATTTGAACTTTTAATTCTTAAGACAGTTGAACGTAATGACATTGAATACAGTGTATACTTGCACTACTAATATAGCTGTTATTGTTGTGTAACAAAAGCGTTGTTAATGTTAAATTGTTTCCACTCACGATGTGGCAGTGACTCTACCACAAAATAGATAGTACATACGGTAATCTACACACAAAATGAGTTCGAGAAACAAACACATAGAAGTCGCTCACGGACACGACATCTCGGACCGGTTGCGAACACATCTGCCGCGAGTTCTATTTTCTTGAGACATAGACGCATGTCTAATAATTTACTTGAAATGTTTTAGTTACCTATTATTAGTTTATATATCCATTCTTCCTCAACTCTCAATCTCAACAATAAATCAAACAACTAGTTACGAGTACCGAACTATCATAACTCTTTGTCGCATGCGTTTTAATTAAGATTTCATACAGTATGCATTAAAGGTGACTTTGACCGTGGATCGTTCAATGTACCTTTTGGACAGGTTTCGGGCACGAGTTTGTTCGTGTTGTTGTATCTAGGGTATTTAATATCGTTCTGCATAAGTCAAAGTTGACAATCTTAGCGCGACCGCCGCGCCGTGCTTACCTATGGTACTGAAATACATACATGAGATTGCCTTCTGTACTATTTTGTGATTGTTTGAGTGACCTTAATTACTTTAAAAGTTATGAATCATTCATCATTATCAATATCACTTGAAATAACTTTCTTAGTAGCAACAACATACTATACCAAACTTTTTCGTCAACAAAAGTAAAAGAGTTGTAGAAAATTTTGGTGTTTCAAAATTATTATTAGTACACATTATCATCTAATGATATTATTAAACGTTTAGTAAAAATTTACCATAATCATGGGCAAAATTATTGATATGATCAAAATGTATATACTTAATTCATTTTAAAGTAAAATACAAAGGTGTCAGTGCTTATAACAAATAATGTACAATCTGTGTGTAGCTGCAATTTTATTTTCCAATTATTAAAAATCAAAGGAAGACTGAAAGAATCATTTTGAACTTTATATACAATATTAAAATATATTTATGTATTATATAATATTAGTTCAAAGCACGAAAACTTGGCCTAAACACGAATACACGATAATAAATGCACGTCGTATAATAAGTACATCGAATATTATAAAATCACATTTTATTATAATACCTAAACTAGGTTAGGAAATAATTTAATTCCTTTTCGTGTAGTATTTAATGATAAATTATTTGATTACTTGAATGTCAATGATGTTGGCAGTTAGGGTTCAGTAAGTTTTATATATTTTATTTATTAAGCATTACTTGAATGCTTAAAAAAATAAATATATAGGTAAATTTGGATGTTTAAATCTAAAGAAAATTTTACTAGAAAAATTTCCACGCGGTCCAGGGCATAGTTGCCATTCCTTTATCAAATGTTTAATACTTGTAAAGGTATTCATTTGATTTGATTATACAATATGAAGAGATGGCGCTGCCTTGTAGCCTCAGAAAAGCTAGAGAAAATTCGACACGGCCATCAGGGCTGTGGTAGCATAATGAACAGTGCATTCGTTCAGAAGTTTTATCAACAATAGGTAACAAAAAATGGGGCATTATTTGTGATTTACTTTATACGAAATATGCAATTATGTATAAATCTAGAAGTCGTATCATTCTTTACTTTATATTAGGGATAATGACAGGGTAAAGTTAACGAAATTCTATCGAGTAGTTATAACAAAATAATAGACAAATATTTTGCTTTTGTCAATCAACCAAAAAAATTACAAAGATATAGGAGTGGGAGCCTGTGACGTCACTTCTAAGTATAGATTGTACAAAGACGTGAAGTTGTGCGTCATCTCAAATCAATATATCTCTTTAGCGTTATGATTATGTGAGAAAAGAAAACATACGTGTCTAATACTTTTTGGTAATCTACTTGATTGCCAAAGAAACAAAGTTGTCGTCACCCCTTTTATTATGGCCTGAAACCAACAAATCCGATTATGAGTACAGTGTCTGAAATGTAAGATGCCACTGCTGCAATAATGGCTAGCACGTCATTTTGACTAAAAAGCAGTCTGCTTACAATGAAAGATGCCACTACTCCAATAATACCTAAAACGCTATTTGACTAAGTAGCAGACTTTTTTTATAGCGAGGTAGGAAAATGACTCTACCCCCACCTGATGTTAAGTAGTGATACAAGTCCAAACGCGAAGATAGCTGGTACAGCAGTTATAAACTGCTACACCAACCATCTTCACATTGCTGGCCTGCAAAAATGCTTCTTAACGCCTCTCTTAAAGGACCCCAGATTGTAGGAAGGTGCGCGGGCAAAGAATTGCCTACAATGTATCGTGACAATGATGTTTACTGTCAAACGTCAATTTGAAATCTTAAAAAAACTGTATTCTTTAAATACCCATTTACCTTTTCAAACTAAAAACAAATCTTCTATTTCTTAAAAGAATACCCTTAAACACTCCTTAAAAATACAAATATTTTTTTAAACTAAAAACTGAGTGTAAGTACAAGATAGACTACCTATCTTATAATTTTCAAGTTTACAACAAGAGTTTCTGATTATCGAATTACAACCCTTTACAACAAGAGTTTCCGAACAAACTTACGCATTAGGCATTGAAGAGACAGTGCATTTTAGGTATTTTGATTTGTAGACGAAATAACGTTTTGGCAATTACAATGTCTACGCATTCACGGTTAGGCAATCTGCTTCTTAGTCTATTGAAGTGTTGGGCATTTGTGCAACAGTGGCATCTTGTATTTTAAGCACTGTGCTCATATCCGAACAAATCTACAACTGCAAATTATCATAGCTACAGTAATCGGCGATGAATAATATAAAATAAATAGTAATTATCAGAATTTTCAGAACAATGATTCTAGTCCCAAACTAAGTAGAGCTTGGACTCGCGAACTAAATAACATATTATAATTAAAAATATCTATATAGATGCCATGTCTCCGGATCAAATATTTGTGCTAATCACACAAACAAGTGTCCCCGATATATGATACCGAAGTGCCGCTTGGCTATACGTGTCTGCTATATGTAACCTTGACAAGTCATGCTTTATAAGGAACTAGCGGCCCGCCCTCGCTTCGCTTCGGTGTAGAGCTGAAGTGTAGACTACAGTTTTTGTTCTCAGGCTTGTATTATACACAATGAAATTCATCTATGATTCTTCTTATACCTGCATGCAAAGTCTCAGCTCGATTGATTTAAAATTGACAAAGTTTCATACAAACTTTCATTCCCTATTTTATCCCCTTGGGGGTAGAATTGATCAAAATCCTTTCTTAGCGGATGTCTACGTCATAACATCTACTTGCATAAACTAGTTTTTACGGGTTAATGCACGAAACTTTATTTATTTATTGACGTTTCTGACGATGACGTTTCTGACCATTATTCTGACGATGCAGACCTGAAAAGGCTGCGAAACGTCAATAAATAAATAAAGTTTCGTGCATTAACCCGTAAAAACTAGTTTTATTTAATGAGTGATGTGCGTGAAAACCTAAGAAACAAATATCTACTTGCATGCCAAATTTCAGCCCGATCCGTCCAGTGGTTTGGGCTGTGCGTTGAAAGATCACTATGTCAGTCAGTCAGTCAGTCACCTTTGAGTTTTATAGATATATATAGATATAGATGAAAGGGACAAACTGTTGTCAAGTTTACAAATAGCGCACAGGAACAGCAAAGTGACGTGCCGGCACAAAAACACTGGGATTCTTAAAAAGGACTTTTGACGTAGGCAAGATATATTATTTTTTTGTAACCTGCGAAAATGTATCTTTAACAATCTCAAAATAATAACTGCATAGAAGGAAGGAAAGCTAAAATAGTAATATACATTGCGGTTGCGTTCCATAGCTCCATACTTACTTACTTCGGGCGAAATTGTTGTCAAATTAGATAAGGTCCATAATATGTCGTCTTACAGAAAACAGTTTTTTGTATATGTGTAACATCTTTCCTTTCGCTTTCCTGCAATTTGTGGGAGTGATTTCGTGAAATGGAACGGAAGTATGTAACAGGAATTCGCGAAAGCGCCCGCTATTTGTTTGATTTTAGAACATAATGTTCAAATGGCTTATTCCTATTAGTTATATTATTATTAGTAGGTTTTATTTCTTTTTTACAAATATAAGGTGAGGTTTCAAATGTTACACATCATACGCGAATACTGTAAGGCTCGCTCGTTTTCTTTCTATAATCTGAGCATATTTTGTCAAAATAGAGTGAAAAGTTGAAGCCAGAGTGTAGGTACGAAACCCAATATCGGATGGACCGTTCTACTTAATTTTTTAAGCCAGATCATAATCATATAAGCCGTCTCATTGAAATAATATTAATTTTCAAATTATTTTATAAACTGCAGAGACATTTTTCAATACTCGAACTTTAGGGGAGGGCAGAGGATTCTAGTATGGGCTTAGCCCATACTTGCTCACCCGTAGCTGAGCCCATGGTTATTTTAAAAGATGGTTTTGTTATTTTCTTTGGATAAGTGGTGTATTATTAGGGCTTGGTTTGTGTTAAAGGCACAGAACACAGAAAGAGGTTAAAAGGGTGACCATAGACCGCTTGAACGGGAACCAATATCGCCGGCTCGTCCTTACTACACTTCTACCTGATAGATAATAGCCAATCAAACGACGCGACATCAAACAATCGAACCAATCAGCGCTCACACCCGAGAGCAACTATGCAATCAGAACCAAGTTTTGGTCAAGTTATGAGTATTTGCTCACACATAACTGTGGCGCGCCTGCCCCGCCCCCAAGGCCCTTCGAACCTCTTTCGGGCTTTTTAGGCTCGTATTACAGAATGACAACTAAGTATTGATCTTTACTTGAGTACAGTTAGAAAGGGATATCGCTTTGTATATCATATAGCGGCATCCTTTTCTAACTATATTCAAGTGTTAAATAAATCTGTGTAGCCAATTAAAGTTTAAAACTAAGCCTTCATTGTTCGGATAAGTCGTATATTAGGGCTGGAGTTGTTTAGTGAGTCAGGGGTGTGAGTTAGGGGCGTCTAAGTCTGCCGGTCGCCGCAGCAGGCCGTGCAGTCGAGGCAGCCCTGCGGCGGACCGCCTCGGGACCGCTATCTCTTGCTGCGACAACCCATTTGTTCCTACAAATGTTCCCATCGTTGAATTATTTATTCATTAGAGCTCGTTCCCATTTGTCGGGTGTAGGATCCGTATATTAATCGGAGGTTCCAGTGGCAGAGTATTATATATGAAGCTATTCACACTTATCGGTAACCGATTTCGTGTCGGCCCCGACAAGAAGTATCGGGTGTTTTGCCAGCACTCTACGCTCGGAAAAAATCGTGTCGAATCTCGCTCGCCTATTATAATGCAACGTAACGCAATCCTTTTTCAGTACAATGTATTTTTGTAGTTTTTATATTTGAGTCAGTAGATCGGTGAATGTTGATATTAGTGTCGATTCTGGCATGATTCTCTAAACCTTAACTTAAATTTGACAAGTGTATCCTAGTCATTCTCTATACAGAATGAAAAGGACAGACTGACATTAAATTTAGTTTTAAGTTTAGAGAATCCTGCTAGAATCGACACCATTGACATCCTAAAATTATTGAAACACTTAATTTCGTCACTTCTCATTTCTGTTATTAAGTTCTGAAATGTACCCAAACTAAATCTTTCCCTCAGGATTATGTGCACCCAATATTTACTTTCCTTGGCTCTCTTTCTTTCGTTTTCTTAAATAATAATAGGTACATCACAACAAGTACTTCGTCGACATCCATCGTCCACAGTCGGCTCGCGTGGAGTACTAAAAACTGTGGCCGACAACCGATTATCAATAGAAGTGTGAACAAAGGCGCCGACATCCGATTAATATATGGATCCGCGACCCGACAAGTGGGAACCAGTCGTTAGGTATTCGGACGACCTCCGTGGCCGAGTGGTTTGTACGCCGGGTTACATGGTGTCGTCGTCTCTAGAGGTTTCTAATTCCGGTGGGTCCAGATGTTTGTGTGATAAATACCTAGTATCCCATAACACAAGCCTACAGTGCTTACTTTGGGGTTAGGCTAATTGGTGCGACTTGAAACCCGGCGAACAAACCACTGGGTCACGGACATCGGAGGAGATATGACGAAATAACCGTACCTTTAGTATACGCATAGCTTCTAAAAGCTCTTGTTTGTCCGCGAGCAAGCTGGCTGCCTCTAATTGGGCTGCGTGCGCGCATTGTCGCAACACTGATGCTTCTTCTATTTTCCTGTAGCAATATTATTATTAAATATTGAAATATGATGAACTTTTCACATATATGGTGTAGTTAATATTAAATGACATTGGGCAAAAATGTATGGACGCTGCACCCACGTCCGCCACGGCTTAAACTACATTTGTTTTCTATGTAAAATGGAGCGACCACAAATCACACGAACTTGTCCACGATTCGGAGAAAACATGATTCCAGTTCATCCATACTAATTGACAGAACGGATAATCGTATTTCAATGTCCAAAGCATGTTAGATAAAAATCAATGAAGCGAAAGGGAGCGCGCAATCACAACGTAGCAAGACGAGTCGAATATTTGCAACTGCAAGTCCGTCATCGCCCGTAAACCGTTTTGAGGTGGCTCAGTAAGTGCAAGTGCAGGATGGTCGTCAGGCTTGTCGTATATCTGGTTGTATAGTACGAAATGGCACATTATTATGGTTACTAATAATATAAAATGAAGGTACTATAAAATGAATTTATTTAGCTACTTAAATATGCCCATGTGGCATATCTTATGACTACCAGGATATTTTTTACGGTGGCATAATAAATAAGGCTAGTTTTTTATAGATCTATCGATTCATACTAATTATACTGTTGGCGCAGCTGGGTGTGTTTTGCCCATTGTCCTTTAATGATAATAAAATCGCAAACAATTCATATTGACAAACAAAATGGATTGGCTAGGCAGTAACTGATAGTCTGTGGCACAATCCTTCTCTATGGGATCTATGGGAGATTGGGCCGTGGCCCACCATGCGGGCCCAGTTCGGATTAGTGGGTGCAAATGACTGCAGATGCAGTGGAGATCAACGCCTTAACGTGCCTTCCGAAGCACGGAGGAGATAGAATAATAAGTTTCTTCGTTTCTATTTGCTGAATCTGTCCATCTTCTCTTTGGCTTCGCCTATATCTGGGAGTAGTTTCGGCTTGGAGACTCAGTAACTTGAAAGTCCCAAGTAAGCACTGAATAAATCCAAATACTTACGCCAGGATAGCGGAAGACATGACATAGGATGTTTCCCGCTATCCTGGACAGCGTGACCTTATCTCAGCGTGATCTTCTTCTTAATTCTTCGGTGTGTTTGCGGAGTCTGTCTATTTTTACTATGGCCTCGGCTACATCTGGGAGTAATTTTGGTGTGCTTAGAGACTCAGTAATTACTTTCGTAGGCGGGCCTAAGTAGATTAATTCCGAAAAGTTACTAGATTAAATTTAAATACTTACGCTCTAAGCTCCCTGTTGTCTTCTGCTATCCTGGACAGCGTGACCAATCTTCTTCTAAGTTCTTCGTTCTCTTTGCTAAGTCTGTCTATCTTCTCTTTGGCTTCGTCTAAATCTGGCAGCAGTTTCGGTGTGCCCGGAGACTCGGTAATTATTTTTGTAGGCGGGCCTAAATGTAGGATCCCTGAGGAATCTCTAGTAAGGCGTAGTGTGGACAGGTCAATGTCTAAAGGCTGTGGTGGTGGCGAAGATATGGAACGAGTTGGACGGTCTTCTATGAGGTGGAGTTTCAAATTCTCTATGTGTACCTGGAATAATAACATGTGTTTTTAGTAGCGGAATAAATAAATAAATTAATATTTCCAACACTCACACCAATTAGCTAACCCCTAAAGTAAGCACTGTAAGGCTTGTGTTATGGGATACTAGGGTAACGGATGGAATAATATACTGTACATATATAAGTATATTAATATAGAAATACATATTAAACGTCCATGACTAGAGTACAAATGCTCGTATTCATTCCACAAACATCTGCCCCCACCGGGATTTGAACCCGGGACCTCTCGAGTCGGCGACACCATGAAACCCGGCGTACAAACCACTCGGCCACGGAGGTCGTCAGGTATATAGAATCAACTTTCAACTGGGTCAGTAGACGTATCATCATCGCCATCTGGTAATAACAGAAGATGATCATGTAATAAACTTTTCTACTGAAAAATTTAGAATTTTTTATTTGAGTATTTGAATAGTTGTCTGAATATGAATATGGAGTCATATATTTTTTATAATCATCATCATCATCAGCCTATTAATGTCCCCACTACTGGGGCACAGGCCTTCCCTATGGATGGAATAGGGAGATTGGGCCATGACCCACCACGCGGGCCCAGACTGGAGTTGCAGATGGGACCAACGGTTTAACGTGCATTCCGAAGCACGGAGGAGCTCGAGATAGTAAATTTTTGGTCACCCATCCAATGACCGACCACCTTTAATTGGGTATAATTTTAGATGGCTCATATTTCACAAATTCGATTCTTTTCAATATCAAATCACATAAGTAAAATGTTTTTACTTATGTGATTTGATATTGAAAAGAATCGAGAGTCATATATTTTTTATAATCATCATCATCATCAGCCTATTAATGTCCCCACTACTGGGGCACAGGCCTTCCCTATGGATGGAATAGGGAGATTGGGCCATGACCCACCACGCGGGCCCAGACTGGAGTTGCAGATGGGACCAACGGTTTAACGTGCATTCCGAAGCACGGAGGAGCTCGAGATAGTAAATTTTTGGTCACCCATCCAATGACCGACCACCTTTAATTGGGTATAATTTTAGATGGCTCATATTTCACAAATTCGATTCTTTTCAATATCAAATCACATAAGTAAAAAGTTTTTTTTTGTAATTTGAAAACAAACCAGACAATTTGGGTCTTGAATTGTACGCGATTGGTACGCAAACACAGTTTATAGGTTATATTTAAATGTTTTTATTTCATGTTAAGGCTGCAACAAAAACACAGTATGATGTATGGGAATACAATGAGGCTATCGTGTATGAATTTGCCGCTAGAGGCGCTTCTGTAGCGTGAGGTCACCGAAATTTCAAATGTTATTGCTTGTGGGTTGACAACGCAGGTTTATTTCTTATTAAAATGATTTTGTGAATATTTGGTAATAACTCCGATTAATTATGGCAATTAATTAGTTACGTGTCTATGAATGTCTTTGATTAAAAAGTGGAGCTAAGAAAAATATTATGTCCTTATTTTTTTCCGAACAAAAGGAACTGCTTAGCACTTTGTCATGGCCGATTACAATATTTATTATGATATTGAGGTTATTTTGTATAAAAATATGATTTAAATGTCAACTTTGATTTCACGCACGTTTTAACAAACTTTAAAATTTACAGTTCAGTAGCGTCATCTGGTAAGACAAAACAACTGTAGCCCTCATTATGACACACAGTCGAAGTCACATGTACCCGCTAGTACTTCTCTTTACCTCTAGCGGCATTGGTGGCGCGATCACCTCATCCTCAATGAACTCTGCTAACGCAAGGGAAGTGCTCATATTGAGTGATAGGCTCAGATCCTTCACGTGCGCTTCTAAAAGTTCTTCGAAAGGCGCCAAAGTTGTCTCACTCTGAAATTAACAAATGAATTAAAAACATTAATATTTAGTCTATCAATGGTATGTAAGCGATGGTGTTTTCTTAGCGTACTGTACCTTGAGCACGAATTTTGACAGAACCGTATACGTATCGTCAACATCAAAGTTTCTATGGAAACTAAGCAGCGCCCCTACCGGCCGTAAGAACAAACTATATTTTTGTTGTTCGTGCTTTGGGTACAGAACTTAGCCATTGATAGAATCTTTGAACGACTAAAAGACTTATGGCGCAATCACATTTGGTCTTTAGCCCGTATTCGGGTGCACGAAAGACATTACTCCAATTCGGGCACCCGAAGCAATATCTACACTGGAATACGGGCCGGAAGACGGTGTCGGGTAAACAAAACGAAATCTACCCGAATACGGGCGTACTCTACTCCGTTCATTTACACTTAGTCGTTTACCTGAATTCCATTTGCACTCGTATTCGGGCTAACTAAGATAGTATCATAGAGCGAGAACACAGATCATCATCATCACTTGTTGTGTTATTAAGGTGTAACATTACCTCAGTGTTGGGCATAGGCAGCTCGGTTCTGGTGAGTTTCATGGGGCGTGCCCCAGGTCATTAGCTCATCGTCCTTAGCCTTTTAATGACCATAATGCTGGGTCACAGACCTTTCCTATAGGATAGAATAGGGAGACCGGGCAATGCCCCATCAAACGGCCATCGCGAAAGTTACTTAACTTTAAAAACAACATTACCTCAGGGTTTGGCTATAACCGAGCTACCAAAGCTCGGTTATGGTGAGTCTCGCGGCCACCTGCGGCGTATCCCTGGTATTCAACTCATCATCATCTTCCGACCACATCGCGACGACATCGAGAATTTGCGGTCCCTGGTCCTCAGGTCATTGTCCTCTATCATCATTAGCCTATTAAGCCCCTGGAGCACAGGTCGTATGGATGGAATGGGAAGAACGAGCCACCACTGTTTAGAGGGCCCATTTGAGCCTTGTGCGGATTGTGGATGTTCAATATTGCCAACCATATATATATAACCAAATAGCTTAACGCGTCTTTCGACAGCTAACTTTTGAACACCCATCTAAAGACTGGCCATTGCGGAAGTTGCTGAACTCCCAAGAGCGAGGGTGCTAAGAACTATGCCAGAGAGCTGCTGATCTTCACATTACCTCAGTATTAGGCCTTGGCAGCTCAGTCCTGGTGAGTCTGGCGGCCACCTGCGGCGTATCTCTGGTCTTCAACTCATCATCTTCTTCCACCGTGGGCTCTGACCACGCTCGCGCCCGCATCGAGAATTTATTCTATAGAAGTGCTTTATATTAGAAACTATAGGTTTATGAAGCCAAAGCAGACCTGAGGACCTAAAAATAGCAGTTCCTATGTTGACAATGTGCTGTCATCACGATATCAATAGTTTAAATGTGTCATTCAGGCAAATTTCTTGAGCATAAACCAGAGATAAAGAAGCCTGAGCTAACATACAAAAACGTCTACTACGGAAGTTTGTTTGTTTCTGTTTTATATCGGCATTTCACTTGTTTGCTATTCGTAAACTTGATATTAATGTGTCCTTACCAATTTATAACCCCTCGTTTACACCAAAGTATAATACATGTATATAAAAAAAATATACCATGTCTTAAATTCTGTTCACACTCATATACATGTATAAAACATGCAGTATACAATACTGCAAGTATCAAACGTGTTAGATATACAAAATATGTGAAGTAAATAGTGATTTATACTTGTAAAGACACTCGTCTAAGCAGAGTACTATACGATTCAAATAAGAAAAGGAAAGACAATGCCCTCCATCTGTCAATTGTCGCTTGAAAAGTACGGTTTGCAAAAAAATCTTAAAACAGTTTTTTTAGCACTGAGCTAGTCTTAGAATAAATACCAAACATTTGTAAAAAACGAATAGAAAATTAGTACTGGAAAAGGGAAATATAAGAACTTTAGTTTTATTATAAACACAGGTAATAAAAAGACCGTTTTTATTTTAAATAAAGTTGTCGTTTTAAAACCTACAATAATCGATATTTTATTTTAAAGCCGAAAGCAGCAGTGATGTCGATGACGATGATGATGACTATTAAAGATCTCGAATCCGATTAATGTTTTTTCTCACTCTGTTTTAATAAATAAATATTATTAATAATGATGTTTTTATTTCTCTCAATATTAGAACAAATTGTTATTTAAAAACATGATATTTTTTTCTCACTTAATCTTGGTAAATAAGTTTTATTTAAGAATAACTTTTTTGCTCACTCTACCTAACCGGGTTGAATTGAGAGCTATGACGTCACAATATGGCGCCCAGTCGGTCCTATTCTTAGTGTAATCGCACTGTACATGGAAGAATGTCACAATAAGTATTCTATTAGTTTTATGTAAAACTGGTATATGACTTGTTTCTTGGTGTAAATGAGGGGTAAGATATGAAAAGGGCAGACTGATGTCAAGTTTACAAACAGCCAAGTGAAGTGCCGCCATAAGAAGTACGTTTTTTAGATTTGATGTACTGCAGTTACATGTATGTAACTAATTAAATATACGAGCTTTAAGAAGAACATTAAAGATTACTACGTAAAAGCATTATAACATATTGTGACGTTAAATTATCACTAAAACTGATAATTAAAAGTACACAGGTCTGCATTGGTTTTTAACACTATCAGTAGTAGGTACCTTATATCTAATGGTATTGGTACACACGGGCTATGATTACAAAAGGTTGATTTTGTATTGGAATGCAAAATTTTAGCAGAAGCCTTTTGGTTTACAAATTAGTTGACAGTCTTTTTAATATATGTAAAATAAAATGTGTACAGTCAAATATGTTAATCGGTGTATTTTAATCGATTGAACGAGATACCGCTCACTTCCTCGAATGTACACAAGTAGATAAATATAAGAAAATTAATTATGTTTATTACCTATTCATTCTGGCGACTAATTTGTACTGTTTCTGTTTACCTTACTCAATGTATTCCTTAACATCTGAATTATAAGGTGCAGAATAAAAAACTATGAAATTTACATTTAAATGCAATGAGATGAGCATGATGGGACACCCATGCCATGCGTCGAGGTAAACAGATATAAACAGCCCGCCTCCACTAAAAGAGGGGCAGAGTGGCTTAAAAAAGGTTTACTATATACACAAGCATAGATAATAGGGAATGTGCATGTTATTCAAATAAGGCTCATTTTTATTATTTAATTTGAATAATTTCTAATAAAATTTCTTTTTGAGCAAGAAATCAATCATTGAAAAGCGCTAAAAACTTGTGAAACAAATATCCGAAACGCGACAGAGCGCAGAAATATATAGCAACAATGATGTTATATAAAAGCAGACATGTCATAAACGCGCACTCTGTGAAGACTCGAAAACGGTTCAATTGGAGGGACTTATAAATGTTACTCTACGCACAAGAAAATATTTGAAGTTTGATCATGGTTGGAACCATGGAGTTTAGAGATAAGGAGAACGATCGCTACGAGATAAAGCATTAGCCCGCCTGTCCCAGAAAATTAGTAGGATTTATAGTTCATTTTTCAGCCACCAGCCGCGCTGCCGTCCGGTAAGTAGTATCTGTGGAGTTAGCTGTTTATGAGTACAAGTAGATGAAGTTAGTTGAATAATGTACAAATGTTCTTCGCGGCATTGGTCATTTAAAATTAACGCACAATAGCCCGCTTTTATTGATACAACACTTTTTTTACAGCGATCGTTCTCCTTCTCTCTTATGGTTGAACATATTTTTAACGCAATCACCATGAACGCTACATATCAATAGAAGTAACATATCATTGGACAGCAAAAATCAACAAACGCCACTTTCACGGTATACGAGTATGTTTATATATAGTACGAGTGCGTAGCGCGCGCCTAACTTCCAAATCTAACTGTCGACTTGTTTGTTTTGTTGCTATGGATTGCAAGTACTGTGACGTCACGCCAAGTGTTCCAAAAAAGCGAGCGTTTAAAATGCCCGTTCAAAGTGTCTATTTTTAACATTTTTTAGACACTTTATATTATTTTTTCGACGTTGAAAATGTTTATATATTAATGTAAACCATGAAAAAATATAATCATGCATATTCCCTATTGTAACAACATTGAAGATGCACACTCTGATAGACTGTACCAAGAATGGAGGGGCGAGAGAGTTACTATTCAATGAATGAGATTGCAATATCAAACACGTTATAATTCAAAGTATTCTGGCAGATCCAAAATCAGAGGCTCTTAGATGAAGCTGCATTCTAAAATAATGGAACAGTGACTCCAGTGCCCCAAGTGTTAAAATTAAATTAAGATAGGTTTTGTATTTATATTTCAAGCATTTAACTGCTAGATGTTTAAATCTAAAGAAAAGTTTACTAGAAAAAATCCACGCGGACCAGGCAGCAGACGGGACTCGAACCCGCACCCTTCGCTATCCGGGCGAATGCATTGACCATTATGCTACCGCGGCCCTGACGGCCGTGTCGAATATTTCCTAGCCTCAGGCTGCAAGGCAGCGCCATCTCTTTGCATTATAGGTAACCCACAATGTCAAATGAATACTTTTACAAGTTTTAAATATTTGAAAGGAGAAATAATAATTATAGTTATGTTAGATAGGCTGTTTAAATAAATTCGTATTACACTTTTAGAAGATACAATGCGAATGGTATACGATATTGTCACCATTCTAAAAAAAAGTTACACGAAAAAGCTTCTTTTGGAGAAGCACTTGTTTTAATTTCAGCGTTTGTAATCAAAGGAAGTCCGTTATAGGTTGCGCTAAGCTATCTGTAAGGCTTGCATTAAAGATACAAACTGATAAAAAGGCTTACGTGATGGATGTCATGCTAGGCGCATTATATACATACAGGTATAAGAATAGAGTAGGAAAGATATAGACTCTACTACAAGTGCAAGGGTCCCTCTAATAAAAAGAGAAAGAAGATGAGAGACCGCTAGCTTCCTCTCTCTAATCGCACATTCGCATTGGCAACCGTAAACATCTTACTATTTCGATGTGATGCTTGGACCAACTATTGGACAGACGACTGCGCATGCGTCACGAGAGAGAGAGATAGCTAGCGGCCTTTCATCTTCTTTCTCTTTCTACTAGACGGACACTTTTAGAGCCGCCTTCCCCGCTCTATCTTACTGTACTGATTTTTTTGGTCAATAAATCTTATTATTATTATTATTATCTATCCTTATACCTCTATGATTATATAACAGCGTGTAATCTAATCACAATTTATTTTGAGCTTTGCATTTTAAGGTCTGAATTTCTACAATATATCTTGTACAAATTTAGATATGCAATCTGTGTAGAGTATTTTAAGGTGCCTAAATATATTTTCCAATCTTTAAATATAAATATTATATGTAAATTTTGGATCTATTGCAATTTTAATAGAATTTAGCATCTATCTCAGAAATGGTAACGATAAGCATTTATGCTCTAAATCTAATACACAACAATGTGAAGGAAAATTACAGGCATCTGAAAAAGTAAGAGAAATTGAGATATCCACAAATGATTGAAAATTTTCAGGAGAATATGTAGTGTCGACTAATCGTTCTCCGAAGTGTTGAGCACTCGATGACTTAAATTTTCGACTCAAACAATAAGGTGGATAGTCGACCAGGTTTCATTAAAGAATTGCAATTCGATAAAACGTACTGCCCAGTGATGTAGTGAATAATTTAATCTATTTCATCTAATCCATTGAATATTTGAGTTCGTTGATAACTCGAATTTTAATGCGAGCAAATATGATATCAGTACCTCCAATCACTAACTTGACAGATCCGTAATCGTATTGCCATCGTCAAATTTTCTATGGAAGGAGTCAGTTTGTTCTTACGTCCGGTAGGGGCGCTGTATAGTTTCTATAGAAACTTTGACGATGCGATACGATTACAGATTTGTTGAAGTTCCTACTTGGGGTACAGACTGTGTGATGTTAAATATTTTTTTTAAACTATGGCAGGAAAGGGATGTGCTCGAAACAAGTGAATGTGTCGAAAAGCATGTGGTCTAATAACTTCTATTTTCTTTACAAATTTGTTTTTTTCTGGACATTTCATGCGATTAGTATCAAATGCTGTCCGTGAATAATTTACAATACCTGTGCCCTCTTCAGATGGCGCTTGTGTCGCTAAAAGGTGTATTAGAAAAAAAAATATTATACAGAAAGTAGCGTAAAAGCGTTGTTGAAGATATTTCCGTAGAAACATTAAAATCTGTATTAAAATTGTTTAATAAAAAAAAAGTAGCATAATACATAACAAACAAATACTCATTTATGAATTAAAACGAGATAGAACGCTGCCTCGCTATCACTTATTGCGAGCTACGTTTTTTATTCTCAGAAGAGAACCGTAACAATGACTGGAAATATCTTCAAATAATCTCATTCGTTCACACACAAACCCCCTTGGCTACGACACATAACCTCTACAGCTAACTTACGTAACCACTACCATTTGAAAAGGCGATCCGAGGATCGTCCAAAGTACCTTGAGTCGAGTCTTTCCATGTATTAGCCGAGCGGGCGGGATAGGCCATAGAGAAACACACGTAGACACATAGTTAGAGAAAAAACGGATGCATATCATAATAATATTTATTGAGTAACAGCGTTACGGGGCGCACGATGGGAAATGTGAAAGTGACGGCGGTACATGCAGACTGCCTCTATATACTTATTATTCGAATTATTTTTTATTAATACATATCAACTTTGCATTATAAAGCTCAGAATCGTTTTTAACTTTTAACATAGCAAGTAATCGATGTCGATTTTTTAAACAACCAATCTGTGATATATGGGTTTATTTGTAGCAGTGACAATTTAGAATTCGATAATAAATTCAATTTAAATGTGTATGCGCAAGGACATAAAACACGATATTTGTAAAATCAAGTCCATAGAGGCGGTCTTATTAAAAAGAAAGTAAACAATGGTTTAATGGAACATGCTAAAAAGTATCAGTAAATTACTTAGAAATTCCAAAATTCAATTACTTAGTAACTGATACGGATTCAAAACTTGTTGGGTATGTAAAATTTTTGTGGTGATGGCTGTTAGGTTCATTGCGGTTTTAATGACTCAAAACTATATCCAAATAACAAATTGAAATATTGATCCTAATAAGAGTATTTCTTTATGGATTAGTCGTAATTGGCGGATTAACGTATTTAACTTTACAAAAATAACTTATTATTAATGTTCGAACATTAATAGCTAAAACTACTAATTTGAGTTAGATGTAAGACAGTAGGTTCATATATCTATTTTCTAAACCATCACATTAACCGTAACATATTAATCGTTAACAGAACTGTCGTGTAAAGTGAAGAAGAAAATAAAAAGATTCGAAACATGTTTTAAATGTGATTTTTTGTGAACACTCTGATAAATGTATTGTATTTAGGACAGTGATTAAACCACTATATATTTATCGTTCAGGCAAATGGAATGAGAAATAACTTAATGCGATATTTTTAAAGACTGTATCATTAGAGCATTGGACACACAACACAAAAGTTATTGTTATTATTATATATTTTTTTAAATATATAGTAGTTTTGATTCGTAAACACTGACAACAGCGGCAGTTTTAGGGTCAGTTTACACGATTGCAGTGACGGCACGACTTTTAAGATGGCTATTGAAAGGTAAAATTTATAAGCTTTGCTGATAAAATTATAATTAGATTTAAAGTTATCTTCGACTCACATGTAAAGTCAATAGAGTCGAGTTTAGTATGAGGGTTATCGTTTTCACACAATATTAAAATAAATGTGGTGTTTTATTTTAAATTGTTTGATTCGATTGATACATCGAAGTATAACATGAGTGCATTAGATAGGTATGTCAATATCTCTGATATGCATATATACATAGTTTTAGCCATTTAGACTAAACCTTTCACTAATAATTGTCAAACTGACACACTTTATTCTATTGATTATACAGAGAAACTTCTTTAAAGAAAAAAAAATGATACAGCTGAGTGCGGCCCTTATTAATCCGCCTAAAGTTTCCTTTTTATAAACATAAAACATAATAAAATACTGATAGATAGATGTCACTTTATTGTGCACACCACATTAAATATTACGTACACTAGGATAATAATTTAAATCGTGAATCTTATCATTATAAAACCATTTCTAAAATGGAGACGATATTTAAAAAAAGGCGCGTGTTTAAAAAAGTCTTATACATGACAAAAGAGGTTAGCAACACTCCTGTGACTAGGGAAAACAGCCACAAATATTTTCACATAGTAATGGGCGATTATGAGCGACAGCCCTCATCCTTTCTATTAACCGTCACCGCGATAGTGTCAACTGGCCGTTACCTGGAACTCGTCCCAGGGTATGGCGGCGCACTCGTCCGTACTCAGCCCGTCCGCGGCCAATCGGAGGCGAGAACACCCGCCCATACTCTGCTGCACTATATGGATGTTGTTCAAACGGAACGTGCACGTTGATATCTATGTACAAATGATAAAAAGAAAACGTAAGGCTGTATGGGAATTGTTCCCCTTGCCTTCTCAAAAAAGGGAGAACTTAAACAAAAAAACGCCTTGTAAGACTTCACCTTTGTATCAAGATAAAATCCGTGTCTGCAATTAGCCGGAATAACTATACAGGGTGTTACAAAAATACAAATAAAGCTTGAAGGGCGTTGAAGTACATCATATAAGGAGTCTTCTCTAATTTTCTTAAAATATTTGCATTAAGTTATAACTTTTTATAAAAATAGTTATTTTAAATGATTAATAAAAATATCGATCATTTTAAGACACGTCACTAGTTCGAGGATAATTAAAAATTAAAACAAAAATACAAATAAAACTTGAAGGGCGTTGAAGTACATCATATAAGGAGTCTTCTCTAATTTTCTTAAAATATTTGCATGAAGTTTTAACTTTTATAAAAACAGTTATTTTTAGTGGAAGTAGTTTCATAAACTGACTTCCGATCTAGTCCGCGGATATAAAAACACTTTCGTTACAAAACCTTTATGTTACAGTTACCTGTAGAATAACGACTTATATATAGTAGGGGAGCTCAAGCGGGGATTTCTTGATATACTCGAGCGCGGCAGAATAACATCAACAATTCTTGATTACACAATAGTTTACAAGAGCAGGGATGAAAAACTGCATCACAGGAGGAAGGTCCATGGATTTAAAACGTAGTGCCATATCTAGTCTATGATTTTCTATAAAAAAGATTTTATTTTGTACTTTTGTAACTCAGTCTGGACCGATTTCAAAAACTCTTACACGATTAGAACTTACATTATTATTGAGGAACATTGGCCATATTTTATCGGGTTCAAACTAAATTCACACATGCTAATCCGGTGCGGATCGCTAGGTGATAAGCACAGTACTCACCACATCGCGTCTTCTGCATGAACTGGTGACGGAATGGTCGCTGGGTGATGATGATCGCTCCACCACTTCAGCGGCGACTTCTACTCCACTCGACATGCGGCCGTGCTCGAACTCTCTGTCAGAGAAATGTTTAAATGAATATCGGACTATCTATTATTTATATTATTAAACACAAAACAAGGTAGAGAATACTATGGATACAAAATCACAGATATAATACGTAACTCAGGGAGACTTTCGATTTTTGTCCAATTTTGTACCTACCGCTACCGTACAAATTATTTCAAAAAACTTCTAATATTATATTAAATAGTTATACTGAAAATTAAATTAAATTGTGTGAATTAAAATAAGGAATCTGGGTATAAAGAAACGTTTAATTCAATTCAATTTTTGGTGACTATGGCTGCGTCTCATAACGTGACGATTCTGCCAATGTCCATGGTTATTACATCGAATACTATTGGTTAATTTATTTTCCTTGATTGAGATTGTTTATATCAAAAATCACGTGGTTTCCGTAACTAATTTAAGAATGCACATTTTCCGTAATAAAGTAACTGTTTTGCAATTAATTAAAATGAATTACGACATTTTTATGTGGTACACGTGGATAATAAACTCTATATTTATATTTTTGATAAATTCGGCGTATTTTTCTTACACATAAATGCATGATAATTCTTGAGGTACAAAATTGGGCAGAGTTGTATGGAGAAAAGAATGGATTTTTTTGACATAGGAAAGTAAAGGATATCACACTCGTGCAGCCTTATCACCAGGTTTTTTTGTTGCTTTGTTTCTTATTGAAATGTATGCTTTTACGACCTATTCAGTACTTAAATAAAATACTCATACGATCAAGTTCACGTCTAATTATTCAGTTGGTTATTTTACCAACTTACATCTCAAATAGCACAATGGCCACTCTGAATAAAAGAAGATTGTTGCATCACGCGCAAAGTGAGTTATAAATGCACGAGTTATATGTTGGTAAATACACTAAATTAACACGAGTCTCCACCCACGTAGTATGTTCTCCTCTTTTTTGCACGTGACCATCAACCTCTCCAGATTAAGGTAGATAAGAAGTCTACGTAGGCAAATGGTGGAAAGCTTTGTCTGTATTTTCAGCTCTTGCAGGACATTACCCAATAATAATCTAGAAACGATGTAAACAATGAATCGCAACATCGGCATTTTTGGGCGACTCCGCAGCTAGTCCTACAACGACGTATATCTCGCTACTCCGAGCTTCACTCAACACTAGCCCCCATGTGCCCAATAGGGGGCGCTGCTTAGTTTTCATAGAAACATTGACGATGGCGATACAAGTACGAATCTGTCATAGATCGTGCTTCCCCAAGCATGATCAGTCCAACGCATGGAGCACCCCCACTAGAGTCCGCATACAAGGGCAAGCGCTTACGCCAAGCTTAAGTAGTATATTACGTATGCGTGAGACACGCCCACAGACGTCGCTATACATCGTTTCATTCCGAAGCCGAGCGTTAGCAGAAGTGCTTCTCTCGTTTTTGCGTTAAAAAACTAGAAAAAATGCCGTACTGTGCAATTAAATTATGTGGAAAGTGGAGTAAAACTTCCAGTCTTCAAAAAGATGGTATTACTTTTCACCGGTAAGTTTAAATGCATTACAAAAAGACAAAAATACTCTTATATGAAATTGATTTTAATTGTATTTATTTTTTGGTGAACGCGTTGATGTCTTTTAACACTATCCCTTTCTCGCATGCGCTACATCATATATGCTATTCCGCTCTCACACCGGCACGTGTATTGCTAGTGACTTGACGCAGCTCATGTCTGTACCCGTAAGTTTATCGATAAGTTTGTCAGCTACGGAAATAGAAAAAATAAATAAAAACTATTTATTTCATCGTATACAATAACAGATATCATGAGTATACAACCAACAGTTTTTAATCATATCGTACTAAAATTTTAAACCCGAAAATTTGTATGGATGTTTGTTACTATTACACGATTAAACTGATTTGTATGAAATTAAGTGCGCATACTTTATGACCTAGATAAAGACATGGAATTAACGATATTAAATACCCTAGATAGACCACGAGCGCTCAAAATGTGTCCCAATCAAGAAGTGCTTAAACTTTATTCAAGCACTTCTTGGTTTACAGTCACGGGCGGACCGATGAAAAATCAAAATGCCGCAGAGCTCCGTAAAAATGCGAAAAAAATACTAATAGTACGTAAAGTGTTGTTTTTTCGACAGGTATCTAATTAATGTTTTTATAATTTGGTACATAGTCATCTTTATGTAATACAATAAGTTATTTATATAATTTGAGCCAAATAAACGTTTTTATTATTATTATAAATTTAACGCATTTGAAGCAAATTTTATTGTAATACTTACTATAAACTGATTTAATATAACATATTTGTGATACTCAAAAGCATGGTCGGTTATACGTCGCCCTATAGCCGTCTTTTTTCTTCGCGGTCTGTACCTGCTATAATAGCTAACAGCACATTCAGAATTGAGCGCGAAAAGTTAAAAAAAATAAGGTCTATTTTCTTTTGCATATAACAATAAGTCGTAAAATTTTAGGAACTTGCATTTTGAACTGCCATAAATCTTTGATGCATGCGTTTTAATTAAGAGCTTATGCCGTATGCATTAAAGATGACTTTTTTTTAAATAATGCATTACATTGTTTTTGACCACGCGATCATCTTACGGACCCCTGTGAATCGTCAAATGTACCTTTTGGTCACGTTTCGGCCACGATTTTGTACATGTTGTCGTATCTAGGGTATAAAATATCGTTGTATAGAATACTTTTTGTAACGGAAAAATGTCAGGTTTCTTTAGGATTTTCAAAAAACTAAAGTTAACGTGGATGAAGTCTCGGGTGGTAGCTAGCATAAAATTTGATAAGTATTTACCAAGTTCCTTCAAAATCAATAATTTGGTTATACTTAGGTTATTTTGCGTGTGCTTAGTCAAGAGCCACGGACGTCACCGTATTAATATTAAATTCATTAAGTCTGTATATCGCATGTGCCTTTCACGAGAACAGCAACGAGCAAAATCTTTAAAGAGATATTTAAGGTGATATCTTACAGACTGATGCGAGAATCAAAATACAGTAACATTACGTGTTTTATTTATTTCATAGGTTTCCAAAATGTGCCAAGATGAAGGAACTTTGGATAAGTGCAACTAAACGTAAAGATTGGACTCCAACTGTAAACAGTTACATATGTTCTCGTCACTTTACCACTGACAGCTTCCAGCTTACTAAAAAACGACGCCTTTTGCTTCAGGATGCTGTGCCAACGCTTCTATAACCAGTTCTGGTATGATTGTCTGGCTTTTCATCTCAGTGCTTTCCTTAATGAATAGCAAATCTTCTGTTTTGATATAACATATAATTTATTTCAACTTTAAGTAATCTCAAAAATGTTTAAATTACAATATCGAATACAAACATTACAGTGTCATTTGCAGGATGAACGTAGTGATTTTGCTGATCCGTCTACTTCAATGCCCAGAAAGATATTAGAAGTGGTACGAGCTCCAGATTTTTTTTACTCTTAAAAACAGTCTCTACTTTAAAACTTTTTCAATGCAATATAAATTTGGTAGACTTGTTCCTAAATAATTAAAGTTGACTTGTAATTTTAATGCATAATATGTCCTTTATAGGCTGAACCCAGTATCAGTGGTATCGTAGTTCCGGTTTCGGGTTACGGAAGTTGTATACTTTTTTCGACAGTTCAAAATTACGGGCTATATAGTAAAAAAAATACTGCATACATATATGGAACTGTGCGTATACTTTGCGGTTTTTTTATTTCAATCTCCTTGGTAGTGTTTTTAATATATACTTTATCTTACTTTAATACTAAAAAGAAAAAGAGACGAAAGATGTAGTTTTAATTTTCACCACCCACACATGACACCATTTAGAAATGCAACTTTAAACGAATTACCAACTTACGCGAATATCTTAAATATCGATCAACCAACTACTTAAATAAAAATAGGACCGGAGATCTGTGGGGTAATTTCCGTTAATGTTTCTAAATCGGTAATTGAGATACTATTGTATTGGGTCCTACTCTAGTTTGCATATTTAATGAATTTGCTGCGTGTTCATTGTTTCATGACCTCTTGAAATAAAATAATATAACTCCATTGCGCACTTCTACGTGTGTATAGTGACTTGTCTCAGAGTTTTGATTGCGATTTTTACGAAACATAACTTAAGAAATGATTTAGGATCAATCAAAGGACCAATCTGGATCTTATAACACCATACTTGAGCGATAGGGTTTAGGGAGTTGACAACATTGGCAATAAGTTCAGGTTTTTTTGGCTCATTTTTGAGACACGTATCCATGTAGGGTCTCTTTTTGATATCTTTCCATTTTGATTTAATCTAAGGCGAATTGTTATAATTTTTTGTACTTATACAAAAATGTATTTGAATAAAAAAATAAAATCTTCGTAAAAATGTGTTTTACTAATATTTTTTACTGTCATAAGTCCCAGAAAATAATAATTAAGGCGCCTTCATCTACGGGTCGGTGCTAGTTTGTTTTGTTTTCGATTCTGTACCGAATCTGAACAGATTTTTCCGAGTGCATTTAATTAAATGAGAGCTTTCTCACTAAGTGGTGCCTGTACAGAATCTTTGCCGAGCGGATACTTAGCTTGCTGTGCTGAGTGCTTCCGAATGCTACCGAATCATTCGACTCGCCCATCCTGTCACTCCCGCAAACAAAACGAACCTGTACCGAGCCGATGAGTAAGGCGCCTTAAGTTTTAAAAGTTGTCATAAACAGCATATTATTGTCTATCTAGATATTTTTTTACGTGTTTTTTGTGTTGCTTATATTTTATTTAGTATGTAGTTACTAGTCGCGTCATGTGATTAGAACGCTGTAAGAAAGTGGAGAGAGTATGTTTGCGCATAGCTACACTAGCGCACCAAAGTACTAGGCCTCTGTACAATGGAGATCCGGCACTTTTCATAGAAAAAATGCTAAACTTGTATACAGTTGAATTTGGTCTCAAAATGAAGCCAAAATTATTTGCTACATAAAACTAATTTTGCCTTATTTTTAGTGAATCGTGGAAAGAAGTTATATAATGATTAATATTTTTTGATATGGAAACCCTAAATCTTCAAGGGACAGAATTTTACTTGAAAATATTACTCAAGTGACTGTAAAAACCATGATTCCTTTGCTTTTTCTAAATAAAAAACCAAATGTCAATTTGGCAATCCTAAAATACAAACAAAAAAATCATTCGCTCCCGCGTACTGTGATTGTGAATGTTCTCTGCTGTGATTGCCTTTTTATCCGTTATTTCTCTTGACGACCCGGCTACATAGAGGTTATATTGACAAACCTACGTATTTGACATTGACAGCTAGCTGCTGATGACAAATATTGCCAGACTACGTTACCCAATTATGAAACACAGATAAAAAAATTAAAAAAGTATACAACTTTGGCACATAATGCCGGGTGTCCTTTATTTATCGATAGAAAATATCGATATTTTCTAAAATCGATCGTACCCTCATCACTTCGCTGCACTGAGTATATCATCTGACCTTGACGTGTCCAATCACAACGCGGCTGATCTCCCTGCACGCCGCCGACTTTGGCGATTTTGATTCCAAACAAAATTTGCGTGATGCGGACTCTAGTGGGGGTACTCCGTGGTCCAACGTGTAGGGCTTCTTCGACGTGATATTTTCGGTTCTTTTTTGCCAGCTTTAACCTGGAGAGGTTAATGGTCTAATCTCTCCAGGTTTAAGTCATTTTTTCTGAAAAGGTGGTACTTTGGCTACATAGATTTTGTAACTACATTCATCATCATTAGTCTATTAATGTCTAATAATAATGAGATTGGGCCATGACCCACCACGCGGGGTGGCGGGTGCTTACAACTGCAGATGTAGCCTGGACCAACGGCTTAACGTGCCTTCCGAAGCACGGAGGAATTCGAGATAGAAGATTTTTGGTCACCTATCCAATAAACGACCACTGTGAAAGTTGCTTAACTTCAACGATCGCAGCCGAACGCGCTAACCACCTGCGCCATCGAGCTCCTCTACTGTGACTATATTACCTGAACGCAACATCGGCATCGTCGGGCGACTCGGCAGCTAGTCCAACGACGACGTATCTCTCGCTGTCGGAGCTGGCGGTGGAGGCGGCGTCGCTGCGAGCGTCATCGCGGGTCAAAGCACTGTCTATTGACGTCACTAGAGACGTGAGCCCGCGTCGCATTGATGAGAAACCTACACCAATAGAATAAATAAATAAATAAATATTTCCAACACTAGCACCAATTAGCCTAGCCCCAAAGTAAGCACTGTAAGGCTTGTGTTATGGGATACTAGGGTAACGGCTACAATACATATACTATACACATAAAAGTATATATTTATATAGAAATACATATTTAACATCCATGACTGGAGTACAAATGCTCGTATTCATTACACAAACATATGCCCCCACCGGGATTCGAACCCGGGACCTCTCGAGTCGGCGACACCATGAAACCCGGCGTACAAACCACTCGGACACGGAGGTCGTCAAGAAAGAAAGATACAAATAAACATTTCTTACAGTACTAATGGGGCAATTACATTTAGTCGCTAGCCCGTATTTGGGTGCACGAAAGACATTACTCGAATTCGGGCAACTGAAGCAATATTTACACTGGATTACGGTGTCGGGTAAACAAAAGAAAATACACATACCCGAATACGAGCGTACTCGACTCTGTTCTTTTACACTAAGTCGTTTACCCAAATTCTATTAGCACTTTTATTCGGGCTTTCGATCAAGTGTAATCGCGCCATAAGGTTCTAGTTCTATACACCAATTTAGCCCCAAGGTAAGCATTGTAACTGTAAGGCTAGGGGCAAAGTTATGGGTTACCAAGACTCAACTCGCACTGGCGCAGTCGTTTCGCCTCTTAATTTTCCCACTGTAATGGTATTCCCACTTATTCGACGCGCGATACCTTAATACCAGGTTCCATCATTTTTGCCTGTAGTAAATACATCTCTTCTTTCCCACTGTTAAGGTATTCCTTAGGCGAAAAACATGACGCATAACGTCGCTTCTACTCTGCGCTAGTTTAAGTTGAGCATAAGCTAACGAATAGAATTACAAACAATAACTTATGCACGAGATTTTGTATACTTTATACTTAGTTTTTTGAGAATACCACAAGAACCAAATAAAAATCATCGTATTCATCATCGATATCCTTTCCCCTACTGGTATTTGAGCCCAGGACCTTTGAATAGGTGACTGGAGTAGCCGACACCTTGAAAACATCGGTGTAATTACATGTCAATGTCTTTGTTTCCTAACGTGAACGATGCCCTATTGCAAACAGAACAAGCTTACATCGCGCGATAATTCGCAAACTATTCTTTAAGGATATTGTGGTCGCTTTTAATCAGATTGGGAATACGTTGAAATTTGGTATAAAGACAGTTTGAGCCCCGGGAAAGGACATAGGTCAGTTTTATTCAAGAATTCATCCCTAGAGAGGCTGTATGTGCCATACAGCCTCTCTAGGGATGGCCGGGGCGCAGTATGCGGGTGACGCGGACCAGCCTGGAACCTGCACCCAGTCGCTTGGCCGGCAGCGCAGTGTGCTACGAATCACGGAAGCAGACGTCGCGGGGCGCAGTATGCGGGTGACGCGGACCGGCCTGAAACCTGCTCCCAGTCGCTTGGCCGGCAGCGCAGTGTGCTACGAATCACGGACGCGGACGTCGCGGGGCGCAGTACTCGGGTGACGCGGATGGGCCTGAAACCTGCTCCCGGTCGCTTGGCCGGCAGCGCAGTGTGCTACGAATCACGGACGCGGACGTCGCGGGGCGCAGTATGCGGGTGACGCGGACCGGCCTGAAAGCTGCTCCCAGTAGCTTGGCTGGCAGCGCAGTGTGCTACGAATTACGGACGCGGACGTCGCGGGGCGCAGTATGCGGGGACACGGACCGGCCTGAAACCTGCTACCAGTCTTTTGGCCGGCAGCGCAGTGTGCTACTAATCACGTACGCAGACGTAGCGAGGCGCAGTATGCGGGTGACGCGGACCGGCCTGGAATCGGCTCACAGTAGCTTGGCCGGTAGCGCAGTGTGCTACGAATTACGGACGCGGACGTCGCTGGGCGCAGTACGCGGGTGACGCGGACCGGCCTGGAATCGGCTCACAGTAGCTTGGCCGGTAGAGCAGTGTGCTACGAATTACGGACGCGGACGTCGCTGGGCGCAGTATGCGGGTGACGCGGACCGGTCTGAAACCTGCTCCCAGTCGCTTGGCCGGCAGCGCAGTGTGCTACGAATCACGGACGCGGACGTCGCGGGGCGCAGTATACAGGTGACGCGGACCGGCCTGGAACCTGCTAGTCGCTTGGCCGGCAGCGCAGTGTGCTACGAATCACGGAAGCAGACGTCGCGGGGCGCAGTATGCGGGTGACGCGGACCGGCCTGAAACCTGCTCCCAGTCGCTTGGCCGGCAGCGCAGTGTGCTACGAATCACGGACGCGGACGTCGCGGGGCGCAGTACGCGGGTGACGCGGACCGGCCTGGAATCGGCTCACAGTAGCTTGGCCGGTAGAGCAGTGTGCTACGAATTACGGACGCGGACGTCGCTGGGCGCAGTATGCGGGTGACGCGGACCGGCCTGAAACCTGCTCCCAGTCGCTTGGCCGGCAGCGCAGTGTGCTACGAATCACGGACGCGGACGTCGCGGGGCGCAGTATACAGGTGACGCGGACCGGCCTGGAACCTGCCAGTCGCTTGGCCGGCAAGCGCAGTGTGCTACGAATCACGGACGTCGCGGGGCGCAGTATGCGGGAACGCGGACCGGCCTGAAACCTGCTCCCAGTCTCTTGGCCGGCAGCGCAGTGTGCTACGAATCACGGACGCGGACGTCGGGGGGCGCAGTATACAGGTGACGCGGACCGGCCTGGAACCTGCCAGTCGCTTGGCCGGCAGCGCAGTGTGCTACGAATCGCCTTGCACACAACTCCGTCTTTTCCAAAGAATTATTTCATTGTATCTCGATATTATTATCAGTATACGAATTATATTTCGTCTACGGTGTTTAACTTCGTATCCGCTCGCTATTTGTAAGGAGAGTAACATTACATCCTCAGATGAAAGGGAAGTTTGTATGGGAAACTAATATTTCCACTCAGACGAAGTCGTTGACATGTATTAGTAAAAAAACGAATAAAAAAAATGTCGGTGGGTAAGGTTCCAGGACTCCGAGGGGTAGGGGTTTGGGTTAGGGTAGGCAACGGAGCGAGCGATATTTTTTGTAATTCCAGCGTCTAAAGGCCATTGTGGCCGCTTATGATCAGGCGGGCCATACGCTTGTTTGCCACTCTTTTAACTTAAGAAAAAACTCACCACCGAAATTAAGGCCTGGACTTGGCGGTACTTCTTCCGCTGGCAGCGGTTGAGAGGTGAACACTTCCACAGAACTTATCGCCAATACGCCGCTGTCTCTGTCTATCATAGATGGCGCCATTGTCGACTCTGATCCTGTACAGAGTAGTCGAGTGTGAGTTTTTAACTTTTACCGCCTTATTACAAAACACGTACTAAATTTAGTCTTGGTTTAAACCTAATGTTGTCTTCGTCTTCTTTTTAGCAAACAAAAGTGACAGCAGCAAACGTACGCTAAAGTTAAACCTTTTTTTTGACGCAGGCAAAACATCTATTTAGAGACGACGAAAAATTAAACAAATTATAATCCAGGTTTAACTTGAGTGTACGTTTTATAATAAGGCGGATAAATTTAGATTATTTAGATGTCGTACTTTCGTAGGTAATATTGAGAAATCTCAATTTAACTAAAACTAGATTTAATACCTTTCGTAATTTTTCTATGAGTTGAAGATAATTTTGTTTGAAACGATATTTTGCAAATTTATTATAAGTCGCCCTAGTAGACCTATTAAGACGTCAGTCTAGCAAGATTGATGCAAAGATTTAAAGCGAAAATGTTGAAAATCAATCAAAAGACAAACACAAATTTAAATTATACCTTAGTGCGTAGCTATCGCTGTTCTATGTAAACTTTATTTTTACGCCCACATTTTTTCGTATAAGTAAAATAGCCTTTATTAGAATACAGAATGTTAACTTATCCAATCAAAGATTACCTAGTTTCAAGTCCTGCAGACTGGATGAATCCAGTGGGACGCTGTCCAAGTCTCTGGAAGACTCCTGACCGGGACAGCTGGACGGCAGCACTATAGTGAGTTCCACTGCTTGGACAACCAAACCCAGTACTATTGACCTGGACATTGTAGAAGAGATTAATTACCTCATAAGACATCGTTTATTAGTATTAAAATACTTAAAATAGCTAGATGAGAGAGACAGATGTAATTTTTTACTTTTTTTTTATTGCACAGTTTGTGTGAAGTTTTGAACAGCAAGATTTTTTTCTTTAATAAATGAATGAATGAAAATTTTCGCAGATAGTGTTCACAATTCTTACCCTTCATCAGCATCGGGTTGCCTGTTAGCATCGTGCGCTAACCACGCCGCCATTTCCGATATCCTCTCCAGCTGTCTGAAGAGGAACAGCATCTGATAGTGGTTTAATTGAAGACCAGTCAACCCGCAAGTTCTGGCCACGCACCATATGCGAGAGAAGCCTTCGTCGAAGCACAACTGTGTACAAGAAATGTTGATTCATTTCGGTTATAAGACATCTACAGGTATAACCAAAACGGAGAAAGGAATCACTCTCCTCGTCAAGAGACAGCGGTACTGACGGCGCACACAATAATATGGAAAGCCTATATACCGTTTACAATGAACATACAAACAAATATTCATACAAAAGTGTTTAACTACATTGAAACCTACTCGAAGTAAGCACATCATGCGTAGTGACAGTAACAAACTTATACAAAATAATATTAATTTGAAAAAAAAGATCTATAATTAGGTACCTATAATTGTCAAATTAACTATAGTTTTTAAATTAATTAACTATAATTGTCAAATTTATGTCACATATATTCAAGATTTTTCCTCTATCTTTTTAAAATACAGATAAGATGACGATTTGTTGCGACGTTTTGATCATTTCTTACAAAAAAGGCAAAATATTAAATAACCAGTTATTGAGAATTATACGTTTACTAGAGGTCGCCCGCGACTTCGTCTGCGTTAACTTAGTTTCTTGAAAATACCTCTGGAACCTTACATTTTTTTTGGGATAAAAGTAGCCTATGTGTTAATCTAGGGTGTTAGCTAACTCCATACCAAATTTTATTAAAATCGCTCCAGCCGTTTAGACCTGAAGAAGTAACAAACATACACACTCACATACTCACAAACTTTCGCCTTGATAATATTAGTGTGATTTGTCACAGCGGTAATTTGCCTATTATCTTATCTTTATTGCGTATTATCTTTTTCCGTGATATTAATAAAAATAAATATTTTGTATTCAACTGGTAATTGTAGATGAACGATTCCAAAATACGGAAAATAAGTATCATGCGACTTGGAAGTCGAAAGTGACTTAAGTCGCATTCGATGATACTATGTCAGGCGAGCGAATCCAAAATAGAACTGCAGGTATCTCTAGCGGGGTAATATATAACAGAAACATACCCAAGCAGTAAGAGGCACGGCATCCAGTAAAGGCGCCGGTCTCCCTGTAGCGCGAGCGCCCGCGCAATCAGCCCATATGGGCTCAGCGCGTGCGCACCAAACAGAACGCGATTCCCGCCATAATGACTCCGGACCTATGGTCGTGCCGCGGTCGATGTCGTCCAAGTCTAAGAAACGAAATGAAATGATACTTTATTTAAATTGACTTCTTGAAACCTCTTTTGCATCGTCCAATATTTACCCATTTAGGGCATCTTATAGCTGATGAAAAGAATGGGCACAAGAAACTCATCAGTATTTAACAGAAATAGCAACATTTACATAAAATCATGTCGCTACCAATACAACATTGTACCCATCGGGATTCAAACCCGGGACCTCTGAGTAGGCGACTCAGAGTAAGAGAGAGACGTTATTTCAATTTAACGACCAGAAATACACATAAAAAGGGTAAATCCTTACTGTTGAATGCGATACAGAGTAAATCATTCAGAATAGAAACTAGGCTTATATCTTTAATTTAAACCTGTTAACTTGATGTAAATATATTAAAATACCGATTCCAAGAAAGAAGTTGAACAAAGACAAAAGAAGTTGAACATAAATAAAACTTACTATTCGCATGTAATATGAATTGCTCGTGTATGGGATCTAGGTCATCAGGTGAGCATGGGAACTGGCCGCTAGGTGGCGCTGATCGTCGCAGCGCTGCCAATATGGATGCCAGATCTGCTCTCGTGCCAGCGGAGTCTATGTAGGTCCAGGAAAATAAATGGTATTATTTATTACACAAGATTATATTACTATGATATCATTACAAATGCAAAATTGAAAGTTTCAATAATCAACGTCCAATAAAAGGTAAGGTTGTTATTATGTAACAATATCTAGGCAATAAGGCTCCAATAAGCATAAAAATAAACAACACTCACTCCCCCGCCCGGTTTCGCGTACATTCGTTAACATAGCTCGTGCCGTACATATGTGCAGTTCCCTTGGTCGATCCCGCTGTTGGGACACGTGTTCTGGGCCCGCTTCTAACACTATCTACAAACATACATATACAATAATTTAATATAGGCGAAACCATAAAATCATTGGCACTTTTCAAATTGTCAAAAAACAAAGAAACCATAGATAGATTATTCAAGCTGTGTATATAAATAAAATTTATCTGTAGAAAACGAGTATCATACCATTATTGTTTAATTCAAGTATCTTTCATGGCGCAATTACATTAGGTCGTTAGCCCGTATTCGGGTGCACGAAGGACATCACTCGTATTCTGGCACCCGAAGTAATTATTTATTACATTGTTTTCGGGTACTATCACGGCCAAATGACCCTGCACCCGCGTTTTAGTTACAACGAAACGAATACGGGCGTACTCGACTTCGTTCATTTACACTTAGTCGTTTCTCCAAATTCGCCAATACTCTCTTTAATTCTCAACTCTTACCTTCACAGTTAATGAAATAATACAAGTTGTGTCATAGGTAACATTTTGTATAACAAAAGGATATCCACCTCTTAAATCATGCTCGAGAACGGATTTCTGATGACTCTCCTCTATAGGGAAACCACCACTATTGAGTTTAGTTCGAAAAACAAACGAAACCATAGATTATTGAAGCTGTGAGTAAATTTATATATAAAACGGGTGATACAGGGTTTGTAGTGGCTGTGAAATTAGCAGTAAGCATCGTAATCATTTTTCGAATCTAAAAAAAGTTTTAATCACATCTATATCACCTTGGGCATGATGGCTTCTGCTCGTACGTCCAGATAGAAAAGAGAAGCATCTCCCTTCTCACTCTCAACTCCCGCTCTCGCCACGTGAGGAAAGAAAGCACCCAGCCAAATCACGCTGGCGACGTCTACGTATACGCGGACCGGGCTAACTTGCACGTAAAGCTTCGGCGATGGAACTGTTACACGAAATGTACAAATCCTACTATTACCCTAATATTAAGCTGCGTATACGCTAGACGAGCCGAGCACGAGCGGAGCGTAAGCCGAACCGCTCGCTTGCAGTGTCAAGTGTGGACGTGCAACGAGCCTACATCAATCACTCTCCTCGAACATAGGTTTCCGGTGAGCTCGTGGCTCACGGCGGGGATGGACGAGTTGTTTGCAACAACCACTGCTGCTACAGCGATTATTATAGTCGAAGTTAGTAAACAGCTAGGAGGCCAAGACGGTGGGGATCTACAAATTTATATGTAGACACACAAATTCAATTAGTTGCAAACAAACATCTTCTGTCCACGTTTCCTTGCTGCTCCGGCCAGCGAAACGAGCGTGTGTCAATTAACGCGTCGTGTGTTCGTCAAAAAATCGACAACGGGCGGAGCACGAGCCGAACGCTCGAAGCGCGCTCGTTCGAGGCTCGTAAGCCGGTCCACACTACACGAATTTCGGCTCCGCTCGTGCTCGGCTCGTCCAGCGTATACGCAGCTTTATAAAGGCGAAAGTTTGTGAGTGTGTACGTTTGTTACTTTTTCATATCTTAACGGCTGGAGCGATTTTGGTATGGAGTTAGCTGGTACCCTGACACTTAATACATAGGCTTCGTTATACTGCGGGAAAATATCCCTAATAAACCGCGGGTAACACTGCGGCGCACAGCTAGTGATATTATAAATGTGAAAGTTAGTAAGTTTGTTACTCAACCACCCAAAAACTACGTAACAGATTTGGATGAAATTTGGTACGCATTAGTTTATGTCCTAGATGAGACATAGGATACTTTATATCCCCTAAAAAGGTTCCTGAAGGGTTCCTGAGGGATTTAAAAAAAACTCAACTACAAATTGTGGGTTTACCTACAATGCGAAGAGATGGCGCTGTCTTGCAGCTTAAGAAGGGCTAGAAAGAATTCGACACGGCCGTCAGGGCCGCGGTAGCATAATGGTCTACATTCGCCCGGATAGCGAAGGGTGCGGGTTCGAGTCCCGTCTGCTGCCTGGTCCGAGTGGATTTTTTTCTAGTAATATTTCTTTAGATTTAAACATCGAGCAGTTACATGCTTAAAATTTTTTTAACGATGTTGAAAGTTAATGTCAACATACCTGGAAAGCAGACGTCGCCCGGGTAGTAGAAGAAAGTTAGTTCCGCGTGCAGTAGGCCCGCGTCGCCCGGCAACGTTGCCTTCTCGGCGCAAACCAACGGCCGCGGAGATTCGCGACCTTTGGACCCGGTCGATACCTGACATAAACATCGAGAAATAAATAAATATTTCCAACACTTACACCAATTAGCCTAACCCCAAAGTGAGCACTATAAGGCTTGTGTTATGGGATACTAGGGTAACGGATAGAATACATATACAAGTATATTTTTATAGAAATACATAATAAACATCCATGACTGGAGTACGAATGCTCGGCGACACCATGAAATCCGGCGTACAAACCACTCGGTCACGGAGGTCGTAAAAAAAAAGAAAAAAAGCTCTGTCCCCTATATGATTAGTTGTTTTAATATTGGCTCAAACTTGAAATTAAAAGTAACACCATGGCCATGCATTACGATCATTAAGATAATCATCAACTTAAAAAGTGACGCAAAGGTATAGATTAAAAGCGCCTCCAAGGAGGTACGACCGAAATTTAAAAAAAAACCGTAAAGGATACGCAGTGCGCCATATATGAGAGCGTGTGGTAAAATATTTTACCGCACGCTCCAATGTATAGCCTGTAATTTAGAATTTTCGAACAATGTATACAACCTCATGCATTTTTTGAGCAAATATGTTGAGAAGAACTATTATTTCAAACATATTGCCTACCACATGGAAAACCCTTCCCTGACTTGTATTTATAAGAGAAGATATATATATATTTTAATTTGATCACTCACCTTGTAAACCGTAAAATCGTCTATCCTAAGTATGAGGCATGTCGTCATCAGTTTACCTAGCTGCTGCAAAATCTTATTCCTCGTTGGCGATGCTGAAAGTTAAAACAGGTATCAATTATACAGAATAGTGTGCACTAATGCCATGTATAGCATTGGCTATATTTATACCTTTAATTATATACACTCACTAGATACCATAGAAACTGCACGGAAGCGGCACAAAAAATATCTACTACATATGGTAGATACGCTCGTCGATACACTTTCACATTTATATAATATTAAGTAGGATTTTACCTTGGGAAGTAGTATTGGCAGTGGTGGCAGCTGCGGGGTTGGAGGGTGCGGGGCGGGGGCTTATGCCGTTGGACATCTGTGCTTCTGACTTTTCCGTATGAGTCTGCGACAAAGTAATATAGTTGAATTGCTAAGCGATTTTGAATATAGGTCTAAGGCGTCGTCCTAGTGGGGAAGAGAACTGCCAATTTATCCCTCCAGAGGCTGAGGTGTCAAAAGCAAAACCTGATTGTGGAAACACTGAATATGTACTATGTCTATTTGACGCATTTATATCGTCGCAGTATTAATACATTAAAAAATATTATATCTTCTTATTTAAGTAATTACTTTTTATGCTTAATTATTAAAGGTGTCTATAGAAATCACTAAAAACAAATTAACTTGTCCCAGGCACGGGGCAAGGATCACAGGAAACGAAAAAAAACTGATTTTTTCAAACACGTTCACGTGTTTACCCCACGAAAAATGGAGTCTGATATCAGCGCCTCTTGCGGTGAGTGGCTAAACTATTGTCAGGCAACATCGGTAGAGTCTCCATGTTGCTAAACGTACTACAGAATAGAAATGACGTTCAAGGATCATAGTCAATCTATTTTCTTATATTCCAATGTTCTTTTGCTAACACAGGTTACATCTAAATGTAAGACATCAGTCGAATAAAATCAGAAGTACTGTACGTTTCTTGAGTGAAAGAATAGTTGGTATCTTTTTCTTTTCTCATTGGTGGCGGTGAAAAGAAAAAGTTCTAAGATCTTAAGTTAATGAGGCAATAACCTTGTCGTTAATATATTTACATAAGTAATTATAGTTATCCTTACAAAAATTAACAAGTAAAAGGTAAACCACGTAAACATTCACTACTAAATTTGTAGTTGCGGCCAGGAGTTGCTAGATTTTTAAGATGTTGAAACGAAATAAATAAACTGACGATTAATAATATTACCTTATTACTAGGTGCGACAGGTCTAGGGTCCATATGTTCGAGTAGGCTCGCACAAAAGGAAGACAGCGATTGCGACAGCCATTGGCTGTGGGGTGTGGCGGCCTCTCTGAAAACGCAAAAACTATTATTATTTTATTGGTAATTGATATTATTGTAATTAGAAAAATAAATATGATTAGTGAAAGTTAAATATCTATAATATATTTTCAAGCCATAAGTTATTTATTTAACAAAATTTCACACGAATCTAAACTTTTCTTAAAGAAAGCTGTAAAATGGGTGGGTAGTATTTCGGTAGTATCTGAGGTGTTTACTGCTCGGAAGCCAGTTAAAAGGGGTTTTTTAATTACCAATTTTTCCCTATATAAACATAATATACTCGTCGGCAACGCCATCTAGTTTTTAAGTGGCGAAACCTCTCTAAGTTCATGAAATTGTTTACAGGTCATCTAGATTCACCTAGACAGATAGAGATGGCGCTGTCGTAACAAAAGAATTCAACAGTTATCTACATCAGAAAAACATTGCCATTCCAGGTGGGTTTGAGCCAGTCTGAGAAGCATGATGACGCAGGTGGTTAGCACGTTCGGCCTGCGATCGAGGCAGTTAAGCAACTTTCGCAATGTAGTCATTCGATTAGTGACCAAAAATTTATTATCTCGAGTTCCTCGGAGAGTTCTTCGGAAGGCACGTTAAAACGTTGGTCTCAGCTGCATTGCAGTATTTAGCTTGGGTCATGGCCCAAGCTCCCTATTCCATCCATAGGGAAGGCCTGTGCCGCAGCAGTAAGGGCATTAATAGGCTGGGATGATGATCCTCCCCCCTGTATACCCCGAATTATGATAGTATATACTTTTTGTTTCTCTAATGGCATGAACACATTTTCCTGTAAGTACCCCTGAAGCTAGAGGGAGAAACCCCCCTAAACCTTCATAGTTTTCTATCGTAATGCTAATAAATTACATTTTAATAGCTACAACAAAATATTTTTCCCGGTGTGCTCTTCGTGCGTTACGTCTTCGTGTATGTCTCTTTCGCACCGTAATCGAAATCTCTCTTTCTCTCTCGTATAAATTGAGATTGAGTCTTTTTTCACGGCATAACGTGTTAATTTGAACAAATGTGGGTGATTTTTTTTTGCCCTCAGGTTAGGCGATTGGGAGTCTACTTGTTTTTATACGTCAATGGATTCGTCCCAATCAGTGTCCAAAGAGCAGTGGGGACATTTTGGGTATGCTGTTGGTCGCAGATGACTAGAGAGCGTCTCTGAGACTCGGCGGGAACATTGATAGCTGATGATGATTATATACCTGTAGCCCCTCCAATGGGCCCGAGATGCGGTTGCCTTGTGGTAGGGGAACAGATCTGCTTGCATGCTCACTAACGTCAATTGTAACGCCCCACCTGAAGCTAGCGACGGTTTCTCAGATCTTCCCACTGCGAATCGTAAGTAAATTCAGAATTCAAAAAACAGTTTATGGCATCAAGAAAGCTGTTCTAGTTAAATTTTAAAGCGCATATAAAATTTGGCAACGTTCAATGGTAACGAAGGTTGACAGAAAATTGTTACAACTGTTGTGATAATTTGTCTAATCCTACATTCCTTTTATATTAGTTTGCAAAATTGTCCTACTGGTTAAATTATCATCGTATATTTTTCTTTCGTATCCACGTTTTTATGGCCTACCTAGTAGAACCTACTCATGCTTTTTATTGCACAAAACAGAGTTACAGCAAGCAAAATGGTAAAAGACTTCAAGAAAAACAATTGATAAAGAAATACTGAACTCCACTAGCATGTGTATACAGCATGCTTATACAAGTATACAATACAGTAACCATACATCAAGAATTCAAAATTTTAATAATTACATTAACATAATTTATTTTAATAATAATTTAAATGAGATTAAGACACCCGCAATTTAATAACCAAATTAGAAAGAGAAAATTAAATTAATTATAAATAAAGGCATTAAATTAAATATAAAAGAACGCGTAATAACTATACAAAGTACATGTGACAGAGGATCAAATTGCATAAACCATCTTCACAATATCCTATTTCCATATCCATATTTACACTCTACTCAAAATATTTAGGCGGCGACATCTACATGCCTACGACATATAACCAACATGTAAAAAAATATGTTTATTTTCTTTTACTTTACCTACTATTTTCTTTAACTAACCGATTTCTTAACCTGTTTCTTAGTCTAGGGCAAAATATCCCCTATCCAATGCTAGTACTTCACATAGCTATTCGTATTTGCTATTTATAATTTTGACAGAGTTATATATATCCTTATCATGCTCTATTGGGAATGAAAAGGAGAGACTGCTGACAAATTTACAAAAAGCTATTAAGAATTCTTTAATCACAAATAAACACTCATAAACACCACATTAAAGAATAATATAGTAGTAGTATATATGTATTAACATTTTTGGTGCATTCCTTTTAAATATATTACATAGAGGAAGTAAACACTCGTCTCGTCAAGAGATGGCGCTGCACTCTTAAAGTATGGAATCCTATATCACGCAAGATAAATTCGGAGGCTATCCGGCGCTGTCTCATAAAGTACGGAAGCCTACAGCGCGCAAGAGAAATTCGGAGACTAAGGTTCGTATTATAGAAAGATTCTCAGTGATTGATCTAGTCTTGAGCGTAGTTAGAAAGGGATGTCGCTATATATAGTACATAGCGACATCCCTTTCTAACTGTACTCAAGTAAATATCAACACTTGTTGACATTCTGTAATACGGGCCTAAGTCTCCATAGTCTTTTGGCCTTAATATAATATCAACTCTACTCTACAGTACTGTCTTGTCTATAGTCTATAAATGGTAGAGTACGATATATCCATATGAACGCTAAAATTCAAGCTCAGATTGGTCTGTACCCTAATTCCCATTATACTCCAACATATAATATACTTTAGCATAGTCAACTTACATCCAGGGTCGTCGCATAGGTGCAAGTCTATCCTCGGAGCTAGCAAGTGATAGGAGGTCTCCTTCACGTCGTGTTTGGCGAACATTCGCGCTAGGATGTCACGATCGCCTCCACTCGATCGGCTTTGTATTTGTTCACGAGGCTCTTCTATCTGGAAGAGGAGGAGAAGTTTAAATGAAAAGATTATAGACACTTATTTGTTCCAGACGTTATGTTGCAGGTCCAAACGAGAGATTATTCTCGATATTAGTTTCTACGGTAGACCATATAATATCTGAACTAAATAGCGGATAAAAATAAGCGCATGAACATGGGGTATGCCTGAATAAATATTTGTGTTATCACATATAAAAAAGGCATTTTCAAGAATTGAATTAAAACTTATATAACATATTTAGAGGAGAAAGCATAATGGCTGTAGACGTATCCGCATCGTGACTCAAACTCTTGTATTTGCATTTTCTTCTGATCTTTAAGGAGGTGGTGTATTACGGGTTGGTGACTTTCCTGTGCGCTTTGGCCCTAGTGTTTTTTAAGTTTTATTCACATTAATGCTATTTTCACTAAAGTTACAGGTAAATTTCACATGCCAATGAGAAAACGCTACAGTTTTTTTAATTACTAAGTTCTATACGGGCTCACCTTCCGCAGCGTCTTAGATCTAGTGGCGTGGGCTGTAGCTCGCCATCGGTCAGTGACCCCGCCCCGCAGTCTACCCGCCTATAGTACACAGTGGGGGCTCACCTTCCGCAGCGCCTTAGATCTAGTGGCGTGTGCTGTAGCTCGCCGTCGGTCAGTTACCCCGCCCCGCAGTCTACCCGCCTATAGTACACAGTGCGGGCTCACCTTCCGCAGCGCCATAGATCTAGTGGCCTGGGCTGTAGCTCGCCGTCGGTCAGTGACCCCGCCCCGTAGTCTAACCGCCTATAGTACACAGTGCAGGATCACCTTCCGCAGTGCCTATGATCTAGTGGCGTGGGCTGCAGCTCACCGTCGGTCAGTGACCCCGTCTATAGTACACAGTGCGGGCTCACCTTCCGCAGCGCCTTAGATCTAGTGGCCTGGGCTGTAGCTCGCCGCACGGGCTCCGCCAAGGCAGCGCCACACGCCAGCGCGGCCCGCAGCTGACCGTCGGTCAGCGCCCAAGCTACGGGCTCCGGACGGATGGCGAGACGAGATCCGAGCACCGCGCAGTCTGATTAACGGATAGAAAGAAATGCGGACGTTATTATTGAAATGCGGAAATAAACACAGCAATTTACTATTAAGTAGAGATGCATAAATTTGATTGTTTACAGGGCCTATATAGGTCACGCAGAAAAAAGTGAGATATAGTCGTTTTAAAAAATATAGTGACTTCGTTGGTCAATATTGAAAAAATAAAACAATTATCAACTAATGGTGAGTCATTTTGCTTTATTCATCAAAACATATAACATTTGAACTGGAATGAAAATAAACTATATTCAAGTTGACAATTTAAAAGCTACCTATCTATTAAAGAGTAAGCATAATGTCATGTGACAAAAAAAGACTTACCTGAGAGTCGTTTTTTTATCACAATCCGACATTGCGTGTTGCCAAGCAACAATCGCAGTGGAGGAAGATTAGCTGCAGATGCACCGTGGGCTTTTGCTTCTATTCTAGCGCTTTGCCATTCCAATTCCTACGAATTAAATAATATGGTTTCATGTACACCATGTTTTAATGCAAATAAATAAAATTACTAAACTACGAACTACTAAAAAATAAAATTACGAATTTCGTACCGCCATAAAAAAAATAGGGGTTAGGTAGTGGTAGAAGGGTGAAAATTTAGGGTTGTAAGTATTTTTGTATGAAGTATCATAAAAAAATAAAAGTAAAAAATTTGTCAAAAAAAATCAAGTGTAATCAAACCCTTAACATTTAGGGGGATGAAAAATAGATGTTGTCCGATTCTCAGACCTAATGAATATGCATATAAAATTTCACGAAAATCGGTGGAGCCGTTTCGGAGAAGTTCAATAACGCACACTGTGACACGAGAATTTTATATATTAAACTAGCTGACCCAGCGAACTTCGTACCGCCATAAAAAAATAGGGGTTGGTGGTAGAAAGTTGAAAATTTAGGGATGTATGTATTTTTGTATGATGTATCGTAAAAAAATTAAAAAAAATATCTAAAATTGAAAAAAAAAATTTAGGGGTGGATTACCCTTAACATTTAGGGGGATGAAAAATAAATGTTGTCCGATTCTCAGACCTACCCAATACGCACACAAAATTTCATGAGAATCGGGAAAGCAGTTTCGGAGGAGTTTAACCACAAACACCGCGACACGAGAATTTTATATATTAGATGTATTGTACCAAGCAAGTAATGGCCCGCCTGAAGATATATACCAGCCGCAGCAATTATCATAGCCTTTAACTCAATTCAGATGTGGTACCTTAAATATTAGTAGCTGTCCTGTGTCAGGCGATTTGATTCTAGTCAGTCTTAGGTCTCCTTTTCGGCCCTCCGGCGTCCGAGACTCGACCGTCACTCTTGAAATCTGCAATATAAAACCAGTAAGAATTCTAACTATAATATTAAGATAATTAGTATAAATTTCACCACTCAATAGATACAATCCATAGTCTTTGCGGGCTTGTTACAAATTTTGTTACTGTTAATATACTGCAAATATACCGCAAATGAACCGGGCCACCCGCTTGTACCTCGGAACTCTGATTAGATTTTCTCAAAAGCTATAAAAGCTACAGGAGCTCTACTCTCTCTCTCCGAAACGAAATTTCGGCAACGAATGAGTTTTAAACGAAATTTCGCCAGTGACTACTCTATTTCATCTTCGAACACGCATAGGAATCACAGACAATTATCGCGAACGAATGGAATGAGTTATGTTTGTGAGTTCTTTTTGTCTACACTTTTTAGATAACGTTTTTACTTCAAAACAATATTACTTTATGACAACATTTTTAATTACATTAAAACAACCTTTTTTGACAGTGTTAGCCGACTAATTTGTAGAGTTGATGCAATCGAATGTATGTCTACCTAAATTTGTCGTGTAACACTTTGAAGTATTGGCAATTGTAAATTTTTCATACTAAAAAATGTTCCTCGCGCTAAGCAGCCTTAATTAAAAATACTCTAGCAGTAATTTTAGGTTTAATTTAAAAAAAAATCCCAAAACGAAAATGAAAAGGTAACACTTTTCATTTCGTCATTTTGAGGTTAAAATTTCGAACAATTATCTGTCAAAATCAACTTTTAGTTCAGAAGTTTTGTGAATTAGAGTAGGCTTAGACAATTTAAATGTCAAACTATTTCCGGACGAACGAATTTTCGAAATGAAATAGAAACAGAGTAAGGAACATGCGAAATTTCGATCGAAATTTCGTTTTTCATTGAAATAGAGTAGGCCTCAGCCCCTCTAGCATGATCACCGAAACGGGATATGATAAAGCGATATATCGGCATTAACTGTCAGACTACAGTAGAGTTTGACAGTTGAGACTCGATAAAAAGCTTTATCGTATCCCGTTTCGGTGGTCATGCTAGAGGGGCTGATATCAAAGCTATAACTACAGAAAGTGCGTTTTATGATGATTCAAATGACTAAGAATTTATTGAGATTAATTATTTTTATTACATTTTTATAAAGTATTTTCTAAAGAAGAGTCGATCTTCGCTTCGTGCTTCCGCTTCGGGAGCGCACGTCCTTATACTTTTCTAAAAAAAAATCAGATCAAAATTCCGAGGTAGCAAGTGTCCCAGCTCATTTGCTGTCCCGTGTAGTTTGCAACAATTACCTGAACACTACTGGTGAAAGCATCACAATTGAAGTCTATTTGAACATGATTCACAGCCACTGAGATTCCATCTATGACCTACAATAAAAACACAACAAATCATTACGAGATTACGAACTTTGATACTTGATTGTATGGAGGTAAAGGTCTTCAAAGTTACGTTTAGCCATGTGAATAATACTTGAAGATGAATATTTGTGTAATAAAATCTATTTTTTATGCAGTCAAAGTCGTAGTATAAACAAGATTACATTAAAACTTTGTAATTAAATAATTGGCTGCACTTCAAGTTCTCCTATATGCATGTATATTGTAAGCTAAATATAGTGAAACAAAAATGACGAAGCGAATTGGTGACGAATACCTTGTGTATGTAGCTATATTTGCCCGGTGCAGGCATAGAGTTGCTAGCCGCTGGATTCATTTCACGGGGCTCCGTGCACACTTCTAGTGCTATCCGCACCTCGTCTAGATTCTAGGCAAAAAAAAAACTATTATTTATACTTTCTTAGGTTTACACGCACATCACTCATTCTGACGACGCATTCGTGCAAAGGATGCGAAACGTCAATAAATAAATAAATTCAGTGCATATAACCCGTTGAAACTTGTTTTATTTACTATTTATAGGTTATCTCAAATATAGAGACATAAAAAGAAGGTACAAAAACAAACCCGTAGCATTAATTCGAATTAAATCGTTGAATACGATCTCGATACGCGTCAAATGTAAGTCAAGAAGTTTTGTATGGAAATTTGAATAGCGCCACAACGGACGTAACGAGAATTAAAAATCTTCTATACTAAACTTCTTGTCATTTGATGCGCATCGAGATCGATATTTTTATGTTAAAAGTGTGCAAACAATCGTATATAGCTCGCCTGAACGTAAACCGCCACCATAACCTATAGACGCTTGTGATACCAAAAATATCACTCGCACCGTTCGTCTACCCTCACCCAATCACCTACCCCGTGGAGCCCTGGAACCTTACTAACCGACACCATCACAACAACACCAAAAGGCAGAGTTATTTTACTGTGATCCTCTGTAAGATGAAGGTTACTCCCCCAGGCGCATGCAATATCTCTCTTCAAAATTAAATCCAACTATTCGATTTTGATATTGGTTCGTGGCAAGGGTACCATGTGATGGTAAGCAGCCCTGATAGCCCCTTTATGCTAGCAATACAAGAGTCCCGTAGTTTAACCTTCTTTTTTTTCAATGATGTTGGTTTGCTGTTAACAAACCTTCGCGACGCAGGTAATTGAGTGGTTCATTCGGCAAGCGACGGGTATACTTTAACGTGCACTCACGCAAGCGTGGCATACGTCAAACCACCCCGCCTCCGACCAGCAGCCCGGTCCGCACCCGCTTTAACCGATCCTGGGCTTCTCTGTTCACAGCGTCACCTGAATAGTCTCACGGACCGCAGTCCGGGCGGCTAGCCACCCGACCAGCTACCGTACCTACCAGGTAAACCAACTCCCCGATCTACCCCTCACCCTCCAGGCGTAACTGCGGGGTCCAGTTATGAGTCGCCGCTCGTTACGCCTGGTGCGTAGTCTAACCTGACCATATTATAAGAATATATTCATAGAAATGAAGCCTTGAAAACTTTATCGACAGAAATACAACACCATATTGTTGTTTTCTTTAAGGTGAAGGTTATTTTCCCAAATGGACTTTTTAATTCTCTCTTCAATAGCTTTTGTTACACAATAAATACTACATTAATTTTCAGTGGTTTGGTATTCCAAGTATGCGCGAAATTCGAATGTGCAATGGCCTGTCATCGGATCTGTCGCCAAATCGATTTCTCAATATCCTTCATGCTTCGCTTAATACCAATACTTGGTAATTAAAGGAGTTGCCACACTTTCCTTAATATAAATCATTATTACTATGCTTCAACAGATGGAAAGCGGCTACCAGGGGGATAATTGTCTACCTTGACACTTTCCACGAACCTTTTTTAAGCTAAATAAAAGTATCAATGTGACGTGACGTGACTAATCACCCTCTCAACAATGAAATGAAAGGGATCAGGGAACGAGAAAAAATTAATCAACTAGGCCATGGGATGTTGCCTATCCTGATCCTCTTTCCTTAACCTGTGTATATACAATACGAAAGAATAAAGTCTTCTGTAAGGAGTTTTTTTTTTTATGTTATAGGGGGCATACGAGCAGACGGCTCACCTGATGGTAAGTGATCACCGTCGCCCATGGACACTTGCAATACCAGGAGTATCACAAATGCGATGCCGGCCTTTAAGGAAGGAGTATGCTCTTTTTTTGAAGGTTCTTGGGTCGTATTGGTCCGGAAACACTGCTGGCGACAACATATTCCACAGTTTTGTCGTACGTGGTAAAAAATTTCGACAAAAACGCACGGTTGTGGATAGCCACGCATCAAGATGATGGGGATGAAATTTTTGTCGCGATGTATGATGGCGAAATGCAGCAGCTGGAATTAATCCGAACAATTCCTCAGAACACTCCCCGTGATAAATGCGATAGAAGATGCAGAGCGAAGCTACATCCCTACGCAAAGCCAAAGGATCAAGCTGATCGGAAAGGTCCTGGTCGTCGACGATTCGAGCCGCTCGGCGCTGGATGCGATCCAAAGGGAGAAGCTGGTACTGGGGTGCCCCCGCCCAAAGAAGAGAGCAGTACTCCATGTGAGGCCGAACCTGTGCCTTATAAAGCTGCAGTCGGTGGGCCGGTGTGAAGTACATTCTCGATCTATGGAGCACACCAAGCTTCTTCGAGGCCAATTTGGCCTTGCCCTCTAAATGATCCCGAAACTGGGCGTCGCTCGATATGTCAACGCCAAGAAATCCAATACTAGCTGAGGCAGTTAGAGGAGTGTTCTCAAAAAGAGGAGATACGACAAATCGTATTTTTTTTGCGGTGAACGCGCATACTTGTGTCTTCGAAGGGTTAAATTGGACTAGATTAAGTCGGCCCTAATTCGTTACTCGGTTTAAAAAAGTTTCGACTTCAGACACAAGTTTGTTCCGGCACTCGATGACGTTTTCCCGTGAAATGTTGGCGCGGCCGGTATATAGGGCATCACCCGTGCTGTCGTCTGCATAGCAATGAATGCCATCAATTTGAAACATATCATTGATATGAAGAAGAAACAGCGTAGGCGATAGCACACAGCCTTGTGGAACACCAGCGTTTACGGATTTGGAGTCCGAGCATGCACCGTCGACTGCGACCTTGATGCTCCTGTCCGCAAGAAAGCTAGTGATCCAAACGCACAGCTTTTCAGGAAGTCCATAAGAAGGAAGCTTCGAAAGAAGCGCTTTGTGCCAAACCCGATCGAAGGCCTTCGCGATATCCAGACCGACCGCCAATGCTTCCCCCTTGGTCTCGATCGCCTTTGCCCAACGATGAGTCAGGTATACTAGTAGATCACCAGCCGAGCGACTCTGACGGAAACCGTACTGGTGGTCACTGATCAGCTGGTGGTCCTCTAGGTACCGCAGGAGCTGGCAATTTATAATGGACTCCATTATCTTGGAGAACAAGGAAGTGATGGCTATAGGCCTATAATTAGTAGGGAGTGAGCGGTCGCCTTTTTTAGGAATCGGGTGCACTAAAGCTGTCTTCCATGAGTTCGGAACGACACCTAAAGAGTAGGAGAGCCGGAAAAGACGCGTTAGTACCGGAGCCAACTCAGGAGCACACGTCTTCAGCACAATTGGTAAGATTCCATCAGGCCCGCTCGACTTGTGGATGACACGGGAAAAGAGTGCTTTACGCACTAAGCTTTGTGTGAACCGGATCTCCGGCATACGGCTCTCACACCGCGGGATGGTCGGCGGTATGTATCCCCTGTCATTTAGAGTCGAGTTAGAAGCAAAGAGTGAGCATAAAAGATCCGCTTTCTCTTTTGCAGTATGGGCCATCGATTCGTCGCCATTGTGCAGGGGTGTTATTAAGTTGGTCTACTTAGCGCCAGAACTCCCCTGAATGATACCACTTCCAATTTTGAAATGTCTGTTTAATAAAATTAAGCTGTTCATGAATTAAACACGTGTGAATTTGTACTTTATCATACATAATAATTATAGGTACATATTTACTTATAAACTCAGCGTGTTGTTATCTAGGTTATGTTTGATAATGTTTATATGAATATCTTTACTACCATTTCCAAGTTTAATTATAGCAGTATTTTTGGAATCCGGAGCATTGACTTAGCACGCATCATAAAATATCTATACTAAAATTATAAATACGAAAATGTGTCTGTTTTATACCTCTTCGCGCTTAAAGCTGAGCCAATTAAGATGAATTTGATATAGATATAGTTTCGAGTCCTGGGAAAGGGCATAGGATAGAATTTAATCCAGAAACCTACCTTTAAGGGGGAGAAAAGAGGGGTGTAAGTTTGTATGAGAAATCAATTAAATCACGCAGATGAAGTCGCGGCCACCCGCTGGTATGTTATATGAGAAACAGTGTATTGAGGAAGTTTAATGAGATTACCTGCTAGTGCACATATGCCAATAATACTTATTATAATATGTATTCGTACACACGAATTTTGTTTGCTTTGTAAATGCTTGTGCCATCACGTTAATAAATTCATAATATGAAACAGAATTTAACATCTGTATATACCTAGTCGATTATTTAACTCTCTTTATACTATTTGCGTTTTAAAACAACGTAGTAAAAAATTAATATTAGAAGAGATGTAGGCACTGTAATTTTTTTACTTATTTTAATTGATAATAGAATGTTTTGTTGACTTAATCTGCATGGCAAATCTTTTTGATTAATTACGCTCTGTATATTATATTTAAGTTAATTCAGCTGCTTTTAACGATGAGTTTATCAAGGTAAGTAAAATCATTAAGTTCACAATTTATTGACTTAATTTATATAATCATAATAATATTTTTATCATAAACTAAAAATCAATAAATATCAAATAAAAGATTCAGAAGATTTGGCAAAGAGTTATGATAAAAAAAAACTAGTGTTGTTTATAAACGCCAGTAGTACAATATATTACTTTATGCATCGCATAAGCATTCGTTATGATTTTTTAATCTGAGGATAAAATAACTAGTTCTGAAGCTTATAAAAATTGTAGAGGAGCTGGAAAGACATAAAGATTGTTCTGTGGCATATTCACTTATTATATTTCCACCCAACACTTATAATGCGGATGTTATGTACAAAGATTTGGGGTATGAAAATAAAGTATTGTTGCATAATTTACCTGGTTCGCCTATACGAGCTCAAGCAAACATTTAGTTGGGTTCTCCAGATACTGAATAAGATTATCTGCATAATTGACAGTGATAGTATCAATGGCATGCTGTAACAATTGCACATGGTGTTCGGTTTCAGATGGAAAGAAACGGGATATACAAGTATATTTTGGGTAAAGGCTTCTCAGTCGCTAATGTCAACTGGTTTGAATCCTATCAAGGACATTGTGACGAAGACTTGAGTCGGTACAGAAATCTCGGGTTGGGGGCACAATGCTGATATTATTTGCGTCACACTTCACACACTCGTCATACTTCCATCAATTTTATGACAAATTTTTCATCAATACCACACATATTGAAGAACTTTGAACCATATGAAAATATAACCAGCCAATTAAGAAATGACAAAGACAGAACGAGGTTCATTCGGATATCGATCAAAGAGGGATGAAGAAATTATTTTGTGTAATAGGCACGACAGCAGTGCAGTAACGGTGGCATCAATGCCGTAAGGAAACCCCAAGAAACAAAACAATAAAGTTTTCGAAAAAGGAAAAACCCATGTCGATTAGCCGGCTATTATAAAAATCTTTATCGAGAACATGGGCAAGGTCTACTAGAACAGATCCTTTTAGTGAGCTTCCACTATAGACAAGAAATGGTATGGTCGTACGTCTGGTCGTAACCACAAACAATTCAACTTATTTTTGTTAAAACATACCATGTTCTCTGAAATATAACCACTACACTACTTTTGGCAGTAGTGTAAAAAGGCTAATATTTGATCCTTACTCTTCATTCTATAAACCGTTTCGAGTGATTACCTACTCCTATGTGAATAAAAATATTTAGGCATTTTTTCACTTAGTTTTATTATAAACTATAATACAGGATTGTAGTGAAACTGTTTTCTGTTTACATGCATACCTGATAGTAGTGCATTCTATTACTGTTCTTTATAAACGACACCGTTTTTCCGGATTTCCACGAGGAAAATATGTTTTTTCGAATTTTTCCCATGTTACTAGACAGATTTTAAGCCTCATATAAAAATATAATCAAAATCAGAAACAATAAAATGTTTCAGGAGTATCTGGGTTAAAGTAGAAATCTAATTTTGTACTTTGAAATATTAAAATTAAGGTTCAAATTATTGAAATGCTATACCTATGTTAGGTCAGGCGATTAGAGGTATTGACACGTAAGACCAAGGCTAAAAGCAACATGCGATCAAAATGAGAGGCACCCAACCGTGGAGAGGACAAAGGTATTTCGTTACATTATATTGTGATGTATTATATAAAAGACGGATATTGTTTGGATACCTATTAAAAGGAGACTAATAAGGATGTTACTTTCAAGTTCCAGACATTGTGCTAGTTTTTATGTAACAGTTCGTTTATTCTTTGAACCCTAGATACACAACATCACGTACAAAATCGTAACCGAAACTCATCCAAAAGGTACAAATAAAAGGTAGGTATACACAGAGCTCCATGGGATCATTGCGTAGCCAAAAACATTATAAATCATTATTTAAACACTCAGTCACCATTAATGAATAGTATAAAAGTACTTAATTCAAACGTATGCGTCAAAGAGTTACGTCAGTTGGAAATGCAAGCTTGTAATTTTACGATTTGTCGCTATAGGCGGAAGAATAAGGCTGCTTTTCACCAGAGGTGTGGTGTGGTAGAGAGGTGTGGTACGTTGCTGTGGATGCGTTTGATATCCACCAATCAAATTCATTGGTCCACATAGCATACATTGGTGTACGGGTTCAACTAAGCTATGTTTTTTTATATGGAAGAATGCGTGCTATGGATGCGTGCTCTGGATGCGGGCTATGATGGCCGCGAGTGGTGTAGCTATATCAAGAGTGCCCGCGTTTGTCACTGAAAGTAGACAAAGTAGCTGCGCATCTTCCTCGCATCTTCATAGCACAGCTTACTCGCCCCGCTACATAGTTTAGCATCAGTGGAAACGGTCACGTAGTTTCGTTTAGCTGACACATCCTCGTAGCATAGCTGCATAGCACATCTCTGGTGGAAAAGCACCCTAACGACTTCATTTCTATGACTTCTGTCTGCTATCTATCGTAATTCTGAATGCATAGGTAGCAATATAGTAGGCACGGTGCGCGAGGAAAAGAAACAACTACATAACCGACCATGCATTTGATTATTACAAAAATGTACTTTAAATTAATTTATAGTATTTGAATTTGTGACTGGTGAACCAAGTGCTTGAGTATTTAAGTATTTTTTTTTTTTTTTTTTTATAGATAGGTCCGACAAATGACTCCACCCCACCTGATGTTAAGTGAAGGTGAAGTCCAGACGTGACGATAGCTGATACAGCAGTTTTACCTGCCACACCAGCCATCTTCACCCTGCCGGCCTGCATGTTGCTTCTTCACGCCTCTTTTAAAGGATCCCAAGTTGTAAGAGGGAGGGAACACGTGAGCGGGCAGAGCATTCCATTTACGGATAGTGCGACAAAGAAATGAGTCACCAAATTTCTTTGTACGCGTTGGAATTATGGCCACAGTTAGACGATGACAACGTAGGCCAGCGCGCGTGGTCCACTGAAGGAAAGGAGAAGGTGGGATAAGAGAGAATAACTCCTCAGAACACTCGCCGTGGTACAGACGATAGAACGCGCTTATGGACGCCACGTCACGGCGTAATTGAAGAGGCTCAAGGTGTTTAGTCACCTCCTCATCGACTATGATGCGGATCGCGCGTATTCTCGTAGTATTTCTTGATTGGGACACATTTTGAGCACTTGTGGTGTATCTTGGGTTTTTAATATTTTTACGTGGCAGTGACTAACTAATAGTACCCATTTCTAGGCCTCCCCTGTATGTCTACTGCCAGGCTTAATCTCTAAAGCCATAATAGGTAGATTGTGTGTTTTTTACATGATGTTTATTTTTTTTAAGTTTTAAATTTATTTTAAGTCATAGTTAAAAAAATATTTAAAAAAGTTTTTTAGGTAATGTTCAGCTGCAATGAGTTATCACCACAAATTGACTCCACTATATTAAACATTAGGTGCAATGAAATAATTTGCTTGGCCTTGTACATTTTTTTTATTACATTAAGTGTTAGTCATATAACACATAATCTAGTAATTTAACAGAAATAAATCACTACCCAAAAGTGACAATAAACACCACAGCCACAGATTACTTATTTGTAAGCAGCTTAATTTTGTACAGCTTCATAAATTATGACTAAAACATGATCCAGAGGCTTGTAAGTTTTATAGTAAAGGTGTATAAATGATGAGTGTGGAAAATTCAAATGGCTGAGACAGCCCCTGATAGTAATTTAATACTTTTGTTGGGATGCTTTTTTCTTAGTTTAGTGCAGTTTAATTTTTTTTTTAATCATGGTAACTTTGCAAATTTGCACATATTAGGATAAGCCAAACAAAAAAACTCTAATTTTAAAGGCTCTAGGGCCACCTAGGATCATCAACACTAAATATGTTATATTTTTTGTTTCATTCATCTTGTATCACTAGCAAAACGAAAACATTAATCAAGGTGTCAGTATGGTTACAAACTAATTACTACACTTCAGAATCTTCATAAATCAAAAACAATTGGTACATAAAACATTACTTGAGAATGGCTTGACTATTTTCTATTTGTTATGTATCTCATTTTCTACACAAGATTTGTTTAAAAGAATATTTTTTATAAAATCACCAGTGATTGGGATGATGTATTTGTATTGATTTCTTGAACAGCTAATTTTTTCTTTATTAATTAATCAGTAAATTGAAATCAGGCATGTTGTTAGTAACTAAATAAAGATACTAGCTGATTTGGATATGTGTAATTGTTTTCCTATGCTTTCATTCAAATTATTTGCTTTTTTTAAATTATTTTGTCCTATTATTTCATTTCAATCGTTTATGATTTTTTATTATTATTTTACTATTAAGCAGCCTAAGCATTTTTGTGATCTTGAAATAGGAACAATCATGAAAGTACAAACTCCCCAAACTGAGTGAATATAGAAAAGTAAGTATTTCTACATTAAAACAGTTGGGAATCATATATAGGACCTCAAATAGGACGACACAGGTCAGCAATAGAAAAAGGATGGAACTTAATTACAGAGGTCATATGTAAAGATTGTTCATGCAAACAATATTCAAAATACTATATTGTAGCTTCTAAGACAAATGAAAAAATATTCAAAATAATTTTACCAGTACTATGGGAACTGTCTTTAGTTTGGTCCATTGTATTCTGAATGAAGCACGATTGCATTTGGCAGAAGTCAGTCGCAACCAACCAGGCAGCTCAAGTAGATCTGTCAATAGATCCTCATCAAGTGTGAGGTCATGCAGTTCTCCGGAACCTCGTAGAGCTGACAGCGAGATTTGTTCAGGCGAAAGATTCTTTGTGAATCTGTTGAAAGGAGTACACACAAAACAACAGTTTATTTTTATTAAATCGCCAATACTTAATTTAGTATTTATGTATTAGAATAAACCTTCTAATAAAATCTATTAGAAGGAACACAGAAGGATTTGATATATGATAAAAGAGACAACATGAATGTAACACCCTCTGGCTACTAAGACAATAAACTAATTCCGACTTGTGAAGTCTCAATATGAAGAATTCGTGATAGAATAAATTCTGTAGTTTATAAACAAAAGGGCAAGGACTTGTAGATAATTTAAACAGCAAAACTCTAAACAGAATAATCATCTGAAAGCAGATAAACTTTATTTTAAGGTAAGGAATGTAATGTAAGATGTAAATAACTCAATTAAATACCTACGTTCACAAGATACATGAATCGAGGGTGTAGAAACTTACCTGGACAAATGTTTCAGAAGCTGGTTCTTTATAATAGTAACCATCTTGTACTCGAAATTAATAAATCTAACTAATTACTTTAGAATCTATCGAAAAATCATTATCACAACAGTGTATTAATATATCAAAAGTATTCTCCTTCTGTGAATTGAAATGATTGAACTTCACACTGAACTGAAATGTCAAATGTCAAAACAAAATCGACCGTAGTCTGTCAAAGTCGGGGGTTTGTTCCGTTCCGTTTGTCGTTTCTAACAGCCTGCTAAATATATTGCTCTAAACTGTTAAAATTATCCTGCAATTCAACTATGGACATCCCTCAAGCAATATGAAAGAAAAATGATTTAGATAGCTTGCATTTAATAATTTATTTTATATAAGCAGAACACTTAACAAATTACTTTTTATTCATCGTTTTAACTGCGTGGAACGGATACTGCTGAGGTGGAAACGGAACGTAAGCTTAGCAACTATGGAGCCAAAGGCGCGTTATTTGTTTGTGTTATCACTAAGTGTTTATTGATTTTTACTGTATAATTTTCTACTGATTACAGTAAAGACTTGCACTTTATTTTGGAGAAATATATTCAGAAAAACAGTTGCTTCCAATATCAGGTTATAATAAAACACTGGCTCTTCCAAATAGATCGACAAGACAAGTAAGAACTTTTAAAAATAATATTTTTGACACTATTGGCCAATAAGTCAAAACATATTTTGAGATATTTCTACTTCACTTTCGAAAGTGTAATTTAGTTTGTTTTTATTTATACTGCTGTGGTAATAACTATTTATTCTTAGTACTTAGATAGATTTCATTCCTGCTTATAGGTAGATGGAGAATAAAAAGTTATGTAGCGCGTAACGTAAGACAGCAGTTTTTTTCACTAGTAAACACACGAATAACTAGTTCGCATTTAGCCCACTATTTTATTGAATATTTCGTAATTCATATAAACTTTGTTTCTTAAATATATTTACAATCGGCTAAAAATTCTAAATTTAGTTAATTTAAAAATAAGAGGTGTTAAGTTGCCTCTAAGACCCCATTCTGTAACATACCAAACGTTCAAGGTTCAAGTTGACTAAATAGATCATAGCACAGCACAACGTATAAGCTTATCATCCTTATGGTAGGTAACCAATAAACACAAATCTATGCTCTGCTGTGCTATGCTTTACTTAGTCAACACACTCCTCATAATTATAATGAGAAAACAAACCATATGAGCTGGGCTGAACTTTGTGTGGCTTTCTTAAAGTTTGCGATCGTGACAGGAATACGGCGCAAACGGTGTAGTAGGACGGGACGTTGATCGTTTTGACCGCGAAACAATCGTTCGTTTTAGAGACTGAAGTGTCTAAACTTTAGATCCAGTTCTTTAGTTCAGTCTCTAAAACGAACTTTAGACTCTAAAGGTATTGGCGGCGTGTTTTATCGCCCACTCGTATGTGGTAGCAATAATACGATTCCCTTGTCCTATCGTTGGTAGCATTATTTTATTATTTTTGCAGTCTGCTCCGCCTCACCGTTTATACTGCGCCTAAGTTGAACTAATAAAGTATATTTTAGAGCTTAATAGAAAAGATGTCAAAAAGAAACTATTTTCTGCCAAAACTAGTCACCACCCTAATACTTTAGTTAAATTCAGCTAGAAGCTGCTTATTTTATAGCTTAGTATCTCCTTTTTGAGTTCTCTCATGTATATGTTTTTTATTGCGTTACTTCGAATTATAGGTCGATCAGTAGCCACCCACTTCAAAAGTGTTTAGTGGTAGATATAGACTTACAAACGTCTCCGGCGCTTTTTGTTTTCTATTGGCAAAAGTTAGACTGCAAGTATCTGTATTCTTAAATTTGTTTTAGCGTTTCACAATACTGTAACAGCACGCTTGACTGCACCATGTCACACAGAGAAAGCAATATAGAACTCGACGGCTACATTGACACAGAGTATTCATCCGGTGACGCTAACAGAGCGAAAACTAAACATTATCAGGAAGAGAACAATAACGAGATCAATGAGCTATCTAAGGAGCTGTCAGAAATGGGCTGCATCGTGGATGCGGTGAAACGACCCCCCAACGTCTGCATAGAGACATGCGTCTACGATTCGGAACAAGAAGAAGAGAAGACGAAATCTGTCGAAGAAGAGGACGCTTACTCCGACGAGTTTGAAGAGGAAGATAAGAGCGATGGGGAAGTTTCTATTCGAAGTGTCAAATCACAACATATATCTGGTAGCGAAAACAGCAAAGGTCTAATGGTGCCGTCTTCCATAAAACTTTCTAAAAGTCAGTCTTCTATGTCACATAAGGCCCCAGCTTCTGTATCAGGCAGATCTAGTGCTGCTTTTGGGTAAGTTTTATAGTAAATCACTTTCTTACAATCGTATTCTTTTATTAGGGCTATTACTACTCCTGATAATATTAATTTATTTCTTAGATTTTCTGGTTCTTCGACCAGAATCATCGTCATTCTTTCAGTAATAAAGTTCATTCTTCTCAGATCGGTTTCTGTTCCATCGACACGAAGGATAAACATGTCCTTTTCAAATGAAAGGTTGCGAGAGATCGAACGACACAACCACATACTGTTAACGAAGATTTTGAGCGCGAGAAACAGTAAGAAATCTTGTATACCGGGTAGGGATCAGCCACCCAGAAGAGCTATGCCCTCAGCTGCGGTTTCGAGAAAAAATCAACAAAGACAGATAGATCGAGAAAATATGGTGAGAGATGGAAACAAATATTAATTCATAAGCTACTATTTATTCATGAGTATGTCGCACATGCACCTGATAAATATTTATTTTATTTCCTTATCTATAACAAATACCTACACACATTTATATACAAATAAATATTTGGACGTTAATGGTTCTAAATTCTGATCTAAAAACAGTAACCGCACACTACTTGTGTTATTGATAAAGGTGAACAAATTCTTGCAATAATAGCCGGGATACAGAAAATAACACCGTGCTGGATTGGGTATCATTATTGATGTCATGAGTTGGAATATTTTATTTTTAGATAGGTTCTGAAAACAGTTATCCAGATCCTGGCATAATATTCCCAAATTTGACTGCAGATGCCTAAGCACGATTTTTTAACAGCCCCGTAACGTATTGTCATTGTCGAATTTTGTATGAAAACGCTAGTTTGTTCTTACGTTCGATAGGGGCGCTGCTAATTTTTCATAGAAAATTTGACGATGCGATACATTACAGAGCTGTCGAAAATTCTAGTCAAAAGGTTTACGTTTAGAGAAACTTGCTGGAATTAGCCCCAGACCAGCCTTTAACGAAATTAAAAAATATCTCGGCTTCAGAGAATTGACAACAAATAAAACATTTTTTTTCTATCATTTTAGATTTTGCTGAAGAAGATTCAACGCGCTAAATCATCAGTATCGAGTATGCGCCGTTGATACAGAGGCCGCGCCCGGTGCGCGGGCGCCGCGTTACGTTTGTATGGGCACGATCGTGTGCACTTGTTATTAAAATTTTATTATTATACTGTTCAATATACACGGCTTATTATTTATCAAGACCCCAGCTAATACCTAAAATAGAATAATGCTAATAGTTATAGCTTTCAAGCAGGCTTTCAGGCAGGCAATACCTTACTCGCAGCGTTATGTCTAGGTAGATAGGTCTAGGTCTAACAAAATGTCCGATTTCATTCCTTTATGTTGTGTGTGGTGATGTGGTATGGTGGTTACCCAAAGAGATTAAACTGTATTTTAGGTAATTCCAAAGAAGTTATATAGGTACCTACTTACCTTTCTAACTTGGTTAAACCTAGCTTGGTTTATAATATGACAGATTGCCAGCTCATCCCTGAACTTTTACCTTATTACAAATTGTTGACTAAAGTTAAACCTGGTTTAAAACTGATGCTGTCACTTTTGTTTGCTAAAAAGGAGATAGCATCACTAACTTTAGTCCACGGAATAAGGCGATTAAAATCACCTAATGTATCCGATTTTAGTTAATTGTTCCCGCATTAAACTTAGAAATTGGCAAATGTGTGTTCCTATTTATAATGGTAGGCTAAAGTAGTGGACTATTCTACATACTTCGAGTGTGCTTGTTCACAAGTTGGTTTTTCGCCGGCTCGAAAAACGGTTTTAAGCCGACGTCTGCTAGAGCAAGAAACTTCGCGATGTCTTCTCGTCCGAAATACCTCTGTGCCTGAAGACCAAGGTCTCCGAATAGTGCATGTTGCCAGTCATGATATACGGAGTTGAAACGAAGGTAGTCGTTGACAATAAGCCTAATAGGAAGGCTTATCCAAAGTAATGCAACTATTATAGTTTATTAAGATCGCTACAATTATTTAGAATGTCTTGTAGTGTTTGAATTGCATGGGCTCTCGCTCTAACCTCACACAAAAATTAAAATCTGATTTGGGTTGGTTGGGTTGGTTTGTGAGGGCACGGGACCTCCCCAAGCACGGGGCCCTGGCGGTTGCCCAGCTCGCCATTTCCCCCCTGAGGCCACCTCTGTTTACCAGCAATCTTAGAATGATGACGCCTCCGATATTTTGTGTAGCTCCTATCACAAAAGTTATAGCAAAGGTAGCTTTATTAGCAAGTGGCTTTTGCCCACGTCTTCGCTCGCGTTCAATTCGGAGTAACATAGTTTACTCTATAAAATTGAAAAAGCCTGAAACATGTACGTATTCACTTAATTATTAACAAAAAGCCTTATTGGGGCTCGTACCCAAATAAGAATGTTTCGGGAATGCAACTGTTCTGACGAAGATGTATAAAAATGTAGACCGTTCGTAATGAATATATAGTTTATTGCACTAAAATAATAATATCTGTAAATATTGATAATTAGGTTAAATAGAAAATATTTAATGTACTGCTCGTACAAGTCTCTAATTTTTTCGCACTATACAAAATTTGGACCAGTTTGGAGAAGAGGTGGGGCGTAATTTTGTTAAATCCATAATGGATGCGAACGACGACGTTCGTCATTATACCTTTTTGCATGTCCAAATTTAGGACAGTTCATTATTATTATCTTTTATAACATAGATTCTTATCTGATAAGAATATTATAACAAAATAGGTGCGGCATTTTTACGTTTGAACACCTGTCAGGGGATGTGGTAGCCTGCATTTGATAATACCTAGTAAAATTAATACTACCTTTTGATGGTGCTATATTGTTCACAGGGTGGCTAGGTTCCAAGTAACTAGACTCCACTTACTTCAGGTGGAGCAGGGTAAGTTTACATTTGTTCGCTTAGGGAAAATTCTCTTTGCTATGCCTGATTAACAAAATCTTACATCAGACTTCCAGTGTGCATATTGTATGCTTCAAAACTTAAGATCATACGTTCCAGTAATTTCTTAAACGCTCTATATAAGTCTATACTAAGCTAGTAGAACCACTGGTACATAGTTGTATAGGTACCGTAGGTAAAGGACATCGACAAAATCGGCCCCAGCATGCACAAACGAAAGTCCTTCACTATGCTTTTTTTACTTTATTAGCAATTAATCATAGTAAACGAACATACTGTTGGAAAAATTAAAAGGTCTGTAACTAGGTACTGGTTGACAGCAAAGGTGCAAATAGTCTAGTGACTATTTGCTGTCATGTCACCTTTAGCCTTAAGAGACTGTCTCATCTAAATTTAAAAGCTTTCGCCAATAAGGTTCAAAAATGATTTCGAGTAAAAGTTTTTTTTTTAATTCAATTCTATTCCATTTTGAATAGATAGCCTTCATAAATGCAATATACGCGACCATAGGTATTTATCAACATTAGAATAGTACTACGTACCAACCCTCCTTCGTTAATAATACTAATAGGTAATACTTATCACTAGTATTTACATTATATTTACCTATAGATAGATAATTTCTGAAATTATGTAATGATAGTTTATACTCCCATCCCATATAATATCTGTTTATTTTTATGAAAATCATGATGATAACCAGGTACCTACATACCTAATTATTACCAAAAATAAATTGTAGAAACAGGTAAATGGAAAGCCTTTGAACATTTCATTTGAAAAGAAATCTATTATTACACAGACGTACCTACCTAGGTATAGGTATCATAGGTGCCAACTGCCAACATCCTTATATAAATATAAATATATGCGCTTATTATTTTTATTATTAATTGCATTTTATGTTTATTTAATTTATATTATTTAAGTGCTTACATAAAGGTAAACAATAAATCTAGTCAGAAGATATAAAGTGTACATCGTTTACGATTAAGTTAAATAATTATAACCTCAAAATTGAATACATTCTGTAGTAGGCCACGGTTCCTCAAGTTGTCCGTATTTCAACAAATGCTTAATGAGAGTTTATGAATGATTCCGAACACAATTAGCATTTTTTCATTTGCTGTGCGTTCTGGGGCATTCAATGTATGGGGCACGAGCAATGTCCTTTGGTGGGACCATGGACCCTTCATATTTTCTTCGTAGAAGCGTAGGGATAAATAGTTTTTTTTTTAAATGTGAAAGCTTGTATGTCTGTATTATACTTCCTATAATCACGCAAAAACTTCTGAATGGATTCGGACGAAAAGTACGCATAGCTCATAAGCTATGTGTACATAACCTCGATTGAGACATAGGATACTGTTTATACCAGAAAAATCTCAAGTTCCTGTGGGATTCTCAAAAAACTAAAGTTAACGCGGACATAGCCGCGGGGGGCCGCTAGTGTAATTATAATTTTTGGTAAGAAAGAAAGTCTAGAAAGTATGTGAATGGGGCAATGAGTTCTAAATGAGTAGTTTGCTGATGGAGGCGCGAATAGCATCATTAATGAGTATTGAGGAAAAAACAAAGCGATAGCCACCGCCGCAGGAGGCATAAACAAGGTTAGAGGTCGTGGTTGTGTACTTTACTGTACCTACTTAAATAAGTACCTATTCCATGCACAAATAATATTTAACGAGAGTGACTCGATTGATGAAGCACATTTTCCCTTCCCTAAATCATAATGTAAAATAGGCAAGTAGTCAAGATGAGAAGTAACGCGCGTCAATTTGTCTGTAGGTGGAGAGGGATTCTAAGGCCCGTATTATAGAAAGATTCTCAGTGATTGATCTAGTCTTGAGCATAGTTAGAAAGGGATGTCGCTTTATATAGCACATAGCGACATTACTTTCTAACTGTACTCAAGTAAAGATCAACACTTAGTTATCATTCTGTAATACGGACCTAAAACTTAAACACAAAAGACTGTAATCGAGTAACTACCAGCTATATGTAAGTTGACACGGTTATCACACTTAACTTACTTAACTATTATTTTGTTATCTCAAAGAAAGTAACAGCATAAACTTAGTACACTTAATTAAATTGGGTTAACTATTGACGCCTCTGAGTGGGGCCGTTATTCTATCACTGTTACTTTTAAGAAAGCAGGCTGACCCCAGCAACAAGTTATTTTTGGGGTAGGCTTTCTGTGATAATTTAAAATACTATCAAGATTCGCTTTTAATTTCTACTATTCTCCATTTAAGAAATGTCCCGAAGTAAAACTCTTCTAATCGTTCTCCAGCAAGGCAATAAGTACCGATTGTATATTTTCCATTGTTTGTGTGTTGCACAACACAAGCCGTGAATGGTATTTGACCTTACGATAAGCTTTATTAGTAGTAAACATTTTAATGATGTAAATTGTTAATTAATGCGAATCTCCCGTATTATTATCAGCGAAACAAATATTTTGGTCTTAAGTATGTTATGAGCAAATTTTATGCTCCTCTTTTCATCCTTCTATTTATGTATATCAGTAGCTGTGCCCCGCGGCGTTACCCGCGGTTTATCAGGGATATTTTCCCGCAGTAAAACGTAGCCTATGTGTTAATCCAGGGTGTCAGCTAACTCCAAACCAAATTTCATTAAAATCGCTCCAGCCGTTTAGACGTGAAGAAGTAACAAACATACACACTCACGCAGTCACAAACTTTTGCCTTTATAATATTAGTGTGATTAGCATAGGTGAGTCTATTTTTCCTTCTAAATCTAAAGGGTCAAGTTTAGGAAATACATATAAATATAAATAAAATATGTTAACTTTTAGGGTATTCTCATGAAGTATATTAAAGTATTTATTTTATTTAGGTAAATAACTGTGCCCACGGTTTAGTTCGCGTGGATGTTGGAAAATTAGGACATGTTATATATAGGTCTAATGACGTTTCTTTCTTATGAGAAGATCTACTTTAGAATCGGCGAAAAATCGGAGGGGTGAAGATTTCCAATGCAGGGCGATGCTAATCCAGACACACATTTTTTATGTTACAAAATTGCGCCGCCGCGCCGCCGCGCCGTAATGATCGGCGCGTAGGTAGATTTGCACTAGTATACATATATTGCATTTTACGAGTGATGTTTCGAGTCTTATAAAATAATTATCAATGAACGAATTATAAAAATATATACATATTTCAGGAGTTCAATGATGGTAGATTAGTTTAATGAAAGTTTTTGATAGTGATTATTTTTAATTCAATATCACAATACAAGGTA